TAACGCAGAGATACTAAAAAAAATGCCTACAACTTGCACTCGCTTGAAGCAAGGGTATCCCAGATCGAGATTCTAAGAAAGTTTATAAACAAACATTGGAGTTACTGGTCGATGTCAGTTGTATTTGCTTTCATTATGGTAGAAGATCGCGCGTCCCGATTGGCTGTCAACTTCAACGTTGGATATGCTCCTATTTGAATGCAGAGTTCTACCTGGTCAAACGCTCGTGTCTTCGAAGCTAGAAACGCCAACACAATTTGGCAATATTACCATTTAGACGTGGAAGCAGTTGGCATTTCTTACGCTCGACAGCGTGGATAACAAGGCACTTGGGCGCTTTACGACGTTTCAGAGAAGAAACTTCAACGTAGGCACATGATCAGTCAAATGCGAGTCTGTTGTGAGCCAAGTAGTCGCCCACAAGATCCGCAGCAACTTGCAAGGCGACTGAGAGCCCTAGCTTTTTCGAATAAGCGCGCGAAGCGTCGGCATATCCTTGGCAATGGTCCATCAGGATCCGCTTTGTTTGTCATTTTCAAGCTCGACGAGTCCTGCGCAACGCGCCTTCACCTACCGATCGCCAGCCGCACGATTTGCTCGTCACCGATTTTGAAATGGCTCTGAATAGCGGTGACCACGATGGTCAGCTATGTGTGAGCGCAACCAATGCGTCTACATTTTCGACGAGCTTAAGGGCTCCGACGGCGTCGCAGCAGCCGTGGGAGCTGGATTTCCTGCTACCAGAGCCACTTGCAAGCTTCACTACGGATACCCGTTCTTACTTTCAAGACACGTCAAGGAAAGACTGCCCCCGTCTTCACGAATCGGAACTTGGGTACCCTTCAGAATCGGAAGATACCGCGAAAACACCTCACTCAGGCGAGGATTGGCAAGACATTCCTCTAAGTGAATATGGTGCGAGCGAGTTCTCGTCATACTTTGTCGACAACGTCTTCTCGGATAAGACGACTACCATATCGAAGGCACAATCTTCACAGTCACCTTGCGGCAAACTGATGGCGCTTAAGAGCCCGAAACTTCGAGTCCACACTGCCACTTGCACTGGTAAAGACCTCTCTGAATCTCAACATAAGCACAGAGAAGACAGCTCGTTTGTCAAGAGCGAGGCTCGTGTGGTTTCACCGACAACCGTTGATAAGAAGGTTCTTGTCACGGACAATGATCTCCGACTGTTCTCAACGAGCAACATGAGGGAGCTCAGTGGACGCAAAGAGAAAAACTCAAAGCACAACAGCAAGAAGGTCAACTCCACCGCTCCAGTTGCAACCCACCGCCAACTTAAGCGCTGTGCTTCTCTTGAAGCTGACTTTAACGACCACTTTGTTCGAGCTCTAAAACGCACCAAAAGTCTCGATCAAGCTTCATGGAGTGCGTCAACCATTGACTCACGCTGGTACTGTGGTCACCCAGAAAGTTTCCATAGGATGCAGCAAAGATTGTTGAGTCCGATGCATCCTTCGACGTCTCTGGGGTTCAACGGAGCCAACATATATCTCCCCGTTCACCACCAAATTGGTATGCAACTGCGTCAGCAATTTCAACCTCAGTACGAGCCACCAAAGCGAAAGATTGGTATCTATTCGCCTGCCGAGCGCCGCGAGCGACTAAAGCGCTTCCACGAGAAGCGAAAGCTTCGAGTGTACCACAAGCGCATCAAATACGACTGCCGCAAGCGTCTCGCCAACTCTTGTCCTCGCATCAAAGGACGCTTCGTTAGGAAGTCCGAGTTCCTCCAAGCCAAAGAGAGCGACAGCATCTCATCGCCAGCTACGTCTGAGTCGACTTCAAACACGGAAGATTGTCAGCTTTAAGCGAAATTTGTTCATGTTGGTAGGCAGTCTGATAAACAATCAAGCGTACTGACTAAGGCAAACAGTTTGACAATTGAGTGGGTGATTCAAACCGTTTAGGTCGTGTTCGCTTGGTTGTGATTTTTACTACAACTCATTGCCACTGCAACTATCGTGCGCTCCAGCGACAGTTTTTCGCTATGAATGAGGCTCCTGGTTAGGACACACACCGCTTAAGCGTTCTGCACGACTTCGGTGATCGCCTTGGCGATGTACTCGACGTTCTTGGACGTGACACCAGCCATGCTGACGCGGCCGTCCTTGGTCAAATAGATATGGTGCTCCTCCATCATGCGGGCCACCTGGGCCTCCGTCAGGCCAGTGTAGCAGAACATGCCGATCTGGTCGGTGATGTGGTTCCAGTTCGACTCGACACCGTTAGCGGTGTCGATCTTCTCAATAGCCGAGCGCAGAGCCGTACGCATCGCGATAATGCGGTCAGCCATGCCCTTGCACTCGCTGTACCACTGCTTCTTGAGCTGCGCGTCAGACAGGATCGTGGACACGATGAGGGAGCCGTGGATGGGCGGGTTCGAGTACATGGGGCGGATGATGATCTTGAGCTGCGACTGCACGCGCTCAGCCTCCTCCTTGCTGTCGGTGACGACGCTCAGAGCGCCCACACGCTCACCGTACAGACCGAAGTTCTTGGCGTACGATTGCGACAGGAAGATGTTGTGGCCTTCCTTGACGAAGTGGCGAATGGCAGCAGCGTCACGCGAGGCATCGCCAGAGGCGAAGCCCTGGTAGGCGCAGTCGAAGAAGGGCACGTGCTTCTTGGCCTTCATGAGGTCAGCGATCTCCTTCCACTGCTCGATCGTGGGGTCCACACCCGTGGGGTTGTGGGCGCAGGCGTGCAGCAGGAAGACCGATCCGTCGGGGGCGCCCTCGAGGTCGTTCATGAGACCAGTGAAGTCCAGACCACGCGAAGCGGGCTCGTAGTACGTGTAGCGACGCACCTCCATGCCAGCGTTCTTCATGATGGGGATGTGGTTGCCCCACGTCGGGTTGGGAAGGTACACGGGGGTGTCCTTGCCCAGGAACTTGTGGAAGAACTCGCCAGCGAGACGCACACCGCCAGTGCCGGAGATGGTCTGCACACCGGTGATACGGCCCTCCTTCAGAGCGTCGCAGTCCTCGCCGTAAGCGAACTCGAGCGACAGGTCCACGAAGTCCTTCATACCGGCGATACCGGCGTACTCCTTGTTCTTGTTGGCGGCCATGATGCGCTTCTCAGCCTCAAGCACGGACGGCAGCACGTACGGTTTGCCGTCGTCGTCACGGTAGGCGCCCACACCCAGCGAGATCTTACGCGCGTCCGTGTCCTATTGTACGCATAGTTATGCGTCAGATAATGTGTCAAAAGCTAGGGATCTTTTGGGAGCTAGTCGCACCTTGTTGAAGCGCTCAGTCAGACCCAGGATGGGGTCGGCCGGGCCCATGGGGACGCTGGCCAGCCACTTGCCGGAAGCGGCCTTGGTGGCGACGCCACGCGCAGATTGGATAGCACGAGGGGAGAGCATGATCGCTGCAGGAAGTCGATGCCGAGGATTTTCGGGAGTGAGCTGCTAGCAAGCAACACGCTGCCGCTAATCGGAGCAATTAGATCGGAGTTTTAAACACCGTAGATCTTCCCATCTTTTGTGAAACGTTATTATTCTAGTTAAGAGGTGACTATGAATGCAAACTAACCATTATGTATAATACACATGGTCCAGTCAAACCATTGATTTGCTGCTGCTGACGAATGTCTACAGATGCAACCAAACTGCAACGCAGCTTGGTGCCCTGCGGTACAGCAAACATGTACTGGTTGCCTCAGGCTCCAATCTCCGAGCATTTTTGGCATCAGGAAATCACGATTTGCGTTCATTTGAACATTTAATGCTGAAACCTTAGCGATATTCATCCATGTTGTTAGTGGTCAATGACTCGCTCTGTGTTGAGATGCCCAGTTAATAGTTTCGGTAGGAGGGAGCAGAGTAATTTCCAAGGGACTGCAAGCTTGTCCCAAGGATAGGAATAGTGTTGCGAGTCTCTGGCATCGAAGATACCTCATCAAGCCCTCTTTAATGAAATACCCCCTAAACATAAAAGTGAATTTTGTTTAAAACACCATGTGTCCAGTTTCTTGCGAGAGGATGTTTGCGAGCTTTCTTGTGGCGCCTTCGATAATGCGCAAGCGAAGTCATGCCGGTGGCCGTCAAGGTCAAGATACCGACAAGATCGACACTTGATGCGGTCTAATGAGGCTTCAGTAAGAACACGATGGAATGTCGTAGTGTGTTGATAAATAACATGCTGGTTGAAACCCATTCTTTCTGCCGGCTGAGATAACCATCGTAGGAACGCAGAGGAAGGTTTCCTCGCTGTGTATGCGATGCCTGTGTGCACGGTTCAACACATTTCCAAGCTCGCATTGAGCTGGCAGCTTCATTATGAAGTACATTAATGCATTGCAGTGTCAATTAGAGAATCGGTGCATTCAGATTTACCTTTTCTTGGCCGTAATCGAGATGCCCGCGGCAGGCTCCACGCGACGAAAATGGAAATGGAAGAAGGGTACACTCGGCGGGCGCTACCGCCTGCTGTAGGATGAGTTGACCGATAAAAACTACATAGGGAGAATCTACTCCGTCTTGAGCACTAGTGAGCATATTTTCAATCGCTACCGATCATTTTAGCATCCGGTAGAGCCGCTGCCCCGTTGGTGTTCCGCCTGGAAACTCAATGGGCAATTATGGGACAGGTGACATTTACGGGCCAGACCGCCCTTAATGACAATCCTAAAAACTTTTCGTGACAACGCTTTCGGACACGGCAACGACGCGCGCCGCGGCGAAGTGAGCATAACCCCAGCGTTGAGCACACCGCGACCAAGCCGTACACACGCGCGCGACGCGCAGGTGCTCTCTAGGGGCCGAGTACTGCCGCGCCGCGTGGCATTCCACGGACTAACTTGGGCGCTTCCTACGTGACCCCCCTCCCTTTGTCCTTCCTCCATCCCGTCCCTATGCATCCAGTGTTTTCACTGGCGTTCCTGACACGGCGAGTGCGAGGAAGCCGGTTTCTTTTTTGTACCGCTATTTTTTACATGGTGTCTTCGCACGCAGCACGCTGATTGGCGGATTTTTATTTGAATTTAAGCGCGCGTAAGAGCATCATACAAAAATCAAGTCAAACTGCACTTCAACGGGCATGTCGAAAGACAAGTGACGACTCCGTGAAAGTGAGATTTTTTTTTTGTTTTTCCATCTCTTACTACGGAATTTCCCGACTCCAGCTCAAGTCTCAAGACCCAAGTCCCAAGCTCCACCCTACCATCAAGATGCCGTCTGCTCCGTCAACGAAGAAGGCCAACGCCGGCCCCGGCTACTACGACCTCATCAAGGAGGCTGTGCTCACGCTCAAGGAGCGCTCGGGCTCGTCTCGTCACGCCATCGACAAGTACGTGGCCGCTAAGAAGGGCGCCAGTTACTCCAAGTCTCGCCTTAACATCGCGCTGAAGCGTGGAGTCGAGTCCGGCAAGCTGGTGCCTGTCAAGGGCTCGTTCAAGCTCGCTGCTGAGGAGAAGAAGGGTGCTGCCAAGAAGCCGGCTGCCAAGCCTGTCGCTAAGAAGGCTGCCCCCGCTAAGAAGCCTGCTGCTAAGACGGCCAAGAAGCCTGCTGCTAAGAAGTCTACCAAAACGGCTAAGAAGCCCGCTGCCAAGAAGACGACGGCAAAGAAGACTACGAAGACGGCCAAGAAGCCCGCCACTAAGAAGGTCACTAAGTCTGCTAAGAAGGTATCGGCTAAGAAGCCCAAGACCACCAAGAAGAAAGTGGTGAAGAAGTCGGCGGCCAAGAAGACCACCAAGACTGCGAAGAAGTAAGCTACACTGTCGCCTATTGTTATGTGCTTTTACCAGTTCGTGTTCGTCGGAGCTGCGCGGTGTCGTGGCTCTGACAGCCTTCTTTATTCTTATTATTCCAATGGAATCCTATTCAATTTGCCTTTTGTTTTTTTCTGTATTAAAAATTTCTTGGGATATATTTTACTGACTGAAAAGTTGCAGACGCTGCTCTTCAATAAGAGCATGGCTCTTGTCCAGCTTTACTTGCAGCAAATGAAGCTCTTCTTGCAAGTCCGCAATGGCTTGATCTTTCCTTGCAACGGTTGCCTTTACACGCTCGTGCAAGTTTGCCAAAGCCGTGTCATGCTCGTCACGCAGCTTCTGGACTTGCTGCTGGAAATGACTCTCCATTGTTGCCTGTTTTTCACGGAGAGACGTGATCTCCACGCTCTGTTGCTGCTGAGTGTACTCGCTGTCGGTCTGTAGAGAGCTACAGCGCTTCTCCAGCTGCGCTATTGAGGCCCCGTGCTGTTTTCGCTCCTCGTGCAGACGACGTGCCAAGTCGCTCGTTTTATCGCCGGCCTGTCGTAAATCTTGTCCAAGAGCCTCGTTCTCTCGCCTCAAATCGTCGTGCTGTCGCTCCAGTTTGCTCAACTTTTCGTGCAATTCGCGATTCTTTTCCATCCACACGCCCTCAATCTCGCCCGTTTGTTTGAGTTTACGCTCGTATTCGGCTCTGTCGTGGCTGAACTTCTTCTGTGCCTTCCGCTCGGCACGCTCGACCATCTGCCTACTTTCTTCCTGGAGTTTTTCGATCACCAACTCAATCTTTGCATCGCGTGACTGCAACATTTGCTTCTCCAGTTCCTGTTTCTCTTTACCCATTTCACCGCGTAGTTTACTGCTAAGTTGCACTTTAAACTGTTCACATTCGACACTTGTCTGTTCGCGTAGAGCCATAAACTCGCTCTCATACTTTGCCATGAGATCCTGTTTCTCTTTCTGCGATTTCTCGGCTGCAGCTTGCAGTTTCTTCATATTCTGCTCCTTAAGTTCGTCCATTTCTTTTGTATGAGCAAGCTTTGCTGCACGCATTTCGGCATACAACTCGTTCCTAGTTGCCTCGGTCTCCTCCTGGAATCGTCGACGTTGAGTACTGAGCTGTTGCTGCAGTTCTGCATCAGCAGCATCTAACCGAGTCATTAATTTAGCCCGTTCCTTCTCTCTTGCCTCGACCAACTTTCGTTCATAGTCGTCCTTTAAGCGTTGCAGCGCGACATCGCGCTCTTTTTCGAGCTGTACCTGTAGTTTCCTGCGTTCCTCGCCGGCAGCCTCGCGTGCCTTCTCTAGATCTGTCTTACCTTTGGCTAGAATAAGCTGAATGTCAGGCTCCAGCGCTGCGACGGTCGATTTCTTGATCTCCTCAGTCTTCTTGACGATCCATTGGTCTCGTCGAACTTTTTCCTGCACTGCCCAGCGCTCCTTTGCATCCTTGAGCTTCAGTTTGAAACGTTCTGCTTCGCGTGCATTATCGGCTTTAGCCTTCTGAACCTCGGCCACTAACTCGTCACATCGCTTTGCCAGCTCGGACTAATAAGCAGCAGCGTTAGTGGTATATCTCACCTAAACGAACAAAGTCTTCTTTACCTTTTCTGTCACAAGGTTTTGAGCGAAATCCATTTGCTTTTCCAGCTCCTTGTTGAATTTCTGTTGCTGTGCAGCAAGTGCTTCTTTCATGTGCTCTTCAGCTTCTGCCAGGAGCTGCTTCGTCTTAGCGGCATCTTTCTTTCTTGCTAGCTTCAGCAGTTCAATGGTCTTCGTCTTGTCCTGCAGATATCGTTATGTTTTAGTTCTCGATCTTAGCATTACCAATTTGCACCAGCGCATACCCACATTCAACTCGATCGTGATTGTTGCCAGCTTTTCCTTGATACCGACATAGTACCGATGCGAGTTGTTGCTCTCGTCTCGGCCACTGAAAGCTGAGCGAACGGAATGTAGCGGAGAGCCACCACCAAATGCACTACCACCGTTTGCCCTCCTCGAGTTGAGCTCCTTCGATGTTCTTCTTGCGTGACTTGCTCGATATGATGGTGCACTCGAGGCTCGACTAGTGATTGAGGGCAATTGAACTGCATTCTCGCTCTCCAAAGCGTCTAGATAGTCGTAAATACTGCTACTAGCACTACGATGACTGACACTACTGCCTGTTCGGGAGTGAGACGCACGAGATTCGAGCTCTTCGTGCTCCTCATGATCATTGTCTTCTTCCTGCTGATGCGGTGGTGACGCCGGTTCTTCGAGATGCAACTTGCTCGCCTTCCTGGTCACTGCAAGCGACAGCTATTGTGATACACAAACGTTAGAAACTATTGATCAGCAAGGTTGAGCTAGAAGGAACTCACGTGCGTGTCATCTTCATCATTATTGGAGCTTCTAGAGCTTCTAGACCTCGCTTCAAACAACCCGCAACATTCTCAGCTTCACTAAGCTCTGAACAGCTCGAAGGCAGCAACGTACCACGTGTTCGGTGTCGTTCAACACCATGATGTCGCTGCATCCTATCAGCTCGAGTGATGAATGTATGAGGAGTTTCTGGGCATTATATTTGGGTCATGGCAACTTACAAAAGCCAAGTGTGTCCACTTCAAGTTGATGTGGCGCACACAAATCGCATTCACTTGAAGTTGCGAATGTCACTTGCCGATTCCCTCTACAGCACACTAATGCTCCGTCAACTTCGCCAGCCTCTGCTCGCAGCTCGCCGCTCCTTCACTGCGGCCGAATGCGGTCTCTCCCGGTCGATGGTGCGTGCTGATGTCGTGCAGATCAGACGAGAGCGATGAATTTTGTGATACTAATGAAGAAATTTCTTTTCAATTTTAAGTCGTCCAGTAGGGAGCTCGGCCTATTCACACCTACAGAAGAGCACGGTGCTCTGCGCGAGATGCTTGCGGGCTTTGTGAAGACAAAGGTGGACCCGCAGGCATTGGAGCACGACCGCGAAGAGAAGTTCAACGTCAAGCTCTTCCGCGAGCTGGGAGACCTTGGTCTGCTGGGTATCACCGCGCCCGAAAAGTAATGGCAATTTACTACACCTACAAAGGTTCATGGCTAATTGAGTGTTACTGTTGCTACAGATACGGCGGATCAGAGATGGATGCACTTGCGGCTGTGATCGCCCACGAGGAGCTCTCGTCCAGCGATCCGGCCTTCTGCTTGTCCTTCCTGGCACACTCAATGCTGTTTGTGAACAATGTTGCACGCAATGCGTCGGACGCTCAATGCCAGAAGTACCTCCCTGACGCTTGCTCAGGTGCCAAGATCTGCGGGATGGCCATGAGTGAGCCCTCAGTCGGTACGGATGTCTTGGGCATGCGCACAACGGCGAAGAAGTCTGACTGTGGCAAGTATTACCTGCTGAACGGAACCAAGTACGTGTCTTAGTTGTTCGCCCATTTGAGTCACATGAAACAGGAGTCTCACGTATATTATTTGTTTAGGATGTGGATTACGAATGGTGCTCTGAATGATACCGAATTGGGCGACACCTTCTTGGTGTATGCACGCACTGGCAACTCGGGGAAAGCCAAGCAAGACTTCTCATCGTTCCTTGTTGAGAAGGGCTTCGAAGGTTTCTCACTGGGTCAACGCATCAAGGACAAATGCGGCATGCGTGCGTCGAACACGGCCGAGCTGGTGTTCGAGAACTGTAAGGTACCCGTCGAGAACATTGTGGGCACAGAGGGCAGCGCTGTGCTCTGCATGATGCGCAACCTCGAGATCGAGCGTGTTACTCTGGCTGCCATGAGCCTGGGCATTGCTCGACGTTCGTTGGAGGTCATGAGCAACTACGCCAAGGAGCGTGAAGCCTTCGGTCGACCTCTTAACAACTTTGGGCAGATCCAGAAAAACATTGCCGAGTCGTACGCGGAATACATGGCTGGACGTGCGTATGTGTACAACACAGCGAGGTGCGTTGGCCTGATATTGGCGAAGGTGAAGCTCTGCTATGCTTAACATTCTTTGGGTGCATTACGACAGAAAATTAAAGCTGGACTCGGTGGGTAATCGCGTGGATACGGATGGTGTGAAGCTCTACTGCGGTGACATGGCGAAGCGCGTAGCCGACCGCGCCATCCAAACGCTGGGCGGCTACGGCTATGTGGGTGAGTACAACGTGGAGCGCCTCTGGCGCGACTCCAAGCTACTCGAGATCGGCGGAGGAACCAACGAATCGCACCATAAGAACATGGTCCAGGACCTTGTCCGCAATGGGCTCTGATCTGGTCGCTGGGTCAAATGCCGCCACCACATGGTGAAGGAAATGAAATGATTTCTTGAGTATAGCAAGCAAGACACTTGAAGGGGGTGCTAGCTCTAATTGGAATAGATCTTGTCGACGAGATACCTTCGACGCTTGTTGCACTCACGCCGGCCTTCCAGACGAGAACCGCTAAAGATATCGAACTTTTTCGCTAAGCGGCGCGATCTTTGTAACCCAAGTGTAACCTCAAGGGTACGTTCAGCGGACATATGGTCCAATCCAATGGATACAATTGTAACATCCCTCTATAAGAACACTGCACGTGGCGACATTCTACTGGCGGTTTTTGGGCGGCGAGGAACGCACCTCACCTTTCCACTTCTCTGGCCGACCTGCTAACCTGTCCCCCGCGACGACGACGATAACCTGCTCCTGTATATATGTATGAGGGGATCTGACCGCGACCACCGATGCGTTGCCCCGCTGCCTGCTGCCTCCGAACGCTGCATGCGACGACGTCTCATTTGACCGCCCTTCTCTCGAACCGTTGTTCTTTTGCTGGGTACGGGAAATGGATGGCGATCACACCAGACGGGTTGGCGCGCTGCCTAAACGGGTCAAACCCGCGTGAGATGTGCCGTAATGATTGGTCCGATCAGTCGCATCAGATCTGGGACGACATAATCAGCTGAGCAATTATGGTGCAATCTTTTGCAGGCAACCCGTTTGTTCTGCTGCACTTTTGGCCAATCCGTGTGCAGTCGTCTGGGAGGGGGGTTACAATCTGAGTTCAAGACGACGGCAGTTTGAGCCGCGGGTCCCAAACGGCTGCAGCAATAAATGGCGGGCATGCGACTTACGAGCGACGAGCTACAGCAGTGCAGCGTCGAAGGCTTGAAGCACTACGGACACCACCGCCGGCATCATTAGAAGCCGTAAAAGCCAGGCTTTGGGATCTTTTTAGCGGTCTAGGGGCATCTTTCGGGCCAAAAAGAGCGAAGAATGTGATCGTCTTTGGCGGGATATGGCACCAATCCCCGCCATTCCTGATATGGGCCGATCGAGGTTTTTTCATCGCTCCATACTAAACCCCAATCATGTGGTAGGTCGTCGAGGTTTTTCGATCCTGCGGCCGTTCTTCTTTCCTTCGTTTTCCCAGAAACGAATTTCAGTCATTTTCGAAAGCAAGCGAGCGGTGGCAGGCGAGGCCCCCCGAATACACGCCCGCCCTCTTTTGGAGTGACCATCACTCCAGAGGGACTATCCAAATTCGCGCGCCGCGGCAACTTGGGGTCATTCCTCAAAAGAGAGCAAACCCCTCGGACCCATTGGTGCCTCCCAGCAGCCACTCGGGCCTCGTGACGACAGTTGCCCCTGCACCAACTGCAACTACGCGGCCGGCTTCGCCCAAGCTGGCGCCCTCAGCTACCATAGGTGACCCAACACTGAACGATCCTCGGAACGAGGTGGTGCAGCCCCACAAGGCGGCGAAAGACGACAAGAACGCAGTGTTCCAGACGGCACGCATCGAAGTAGTGAGCCCCAACGACAGCTCCACCCGGTGGACCTCGGGCACGCCCCGAGGGCACCTCGATAGCGTGCACGTGTGTGTCATGATGGTCGAGCAGCAGACACAGCAGAAGCCCGCGCCTGCCCCAATCAAAAGCAACGTCACAATTAAGCAGGAGCCCAATGGCACTACTCCAACCCCGCCACCAGCCCCTGTAGCCACTAAGGACAGCTGCAATGCGGTTATCAAGACGGAAAAAGTCGCCGACACGAAAAAAGTCAAGCCCGTGCCGGATCTTCCGCGCGAAGTGTTGCAATACGCACCGCTGCTTGTTGGAAAGTACTACATTCAAGACAAACGCGCTGTATGGTCTGGTATGTGGGGTATGAGCGAGGCAGCGTTTAAGCCCAATGGTGTCATCAGCCCGTTCGAGATGAAATCACAAGAAGACGTGGCTATCCCAACGTGCAGCGGTGCAGCTGATAGCGTCCATCCGGCCATGTCGGGATCAGCGCTTGCACGCTCGTCCAAAACTACCAACGCTGCCATTAACGAAGTGTCACCAGTGTATTTAGGCTACGAAACGGATGCGAATGTGCGCTCAGCGATGCCTTTCGACGGAAAATACAGCGGATCATTCCAAATCCAAGCGGTGAAGGGGAAACATCAGACCGTATCGGAGAAAGACGTGGAGATCCGATTCGTACATGACGCTTGCAACCCGATGCAGTTCGTAGTTTCTGGATCAGGTGAGAACCGCTTTGGTTTATTTACGTTGCATGGATTCCTGGACAAAGAGACGAATGAACTGCGGCTATACAAGGTGTACAAGCCGAAGGAGCCTGTGAAGCGCACGTTACCTCGACGTACAAGATCAGTACGAGCAGCTACTCCAGCAGTGAAGCGTGAAGTGAAGGCTCTGTCGATCTCTGCGCCTGGAGTTGCTGCTATTACGGCTTCAGTAGAGGTTGCCAAGATCGCGACACCTCAAGCTGGACCTACGATTTCTGCTCCACGCAGTGTTAGCACCCCGATGTCCGACTATTTGTCGCCGTCTCTGGTGCTTGGACGCTCGGAGCGGAAACGTTCCATCCCTGCACATCTTCGTGAGGATAATATTCTGGAGCTGGATCAAGCTCCGATGAGCATGAAGAAGTGTCTTAGTATCCTGAAGGGCCTAATGGCTAACCCCAAATCGGCGCCTTTCTTGGCTCCCGTGGATCCGGTTGCATTGGGTATTCCAGACTATTTCCATGTAATCAAGGAGCCGATGGATCTCGGCACTATTCGCAACAATTTGGAGTCCGGTTTCTATGACAGTCCGTCGGATTTTGCAGAGCATGTGCGACTGACATTCCGGAACGCAATGCTATATAACGCTGCCCACAGTCAAGTACACATTTACGCTCGCAAGCTCGTAGACGACTTTGAAAAGCGGTTCAAAAGTCTTAATATCAAGCTCTCTACAAAGAGCAAACACTCGGATATGAAGAAGAAGGACCGGAAAGCTGACGGTACTTACTCTTCGAAGAAGATCAGAGGTGGGAAGGGGACAAAGGGCAATTCCAAGCGACAAATGTCTGGCGAAGATAACGGACTGATCATGTCGCTGAAGGAGGATATTGAGCGTCTAAAAGCGACCCTAGAACAGCTGCAACCAACCATGGCCAAGGCTGTTGCCTCCAAGTCCGCAAAGGCTGCCAAGTACGTAGTTTTCCTTCTCAGAGGTTCCATTATCTGTGTACACTAACAGGCTTTTCTTTGTTCAGACCGTTCAAGATGGATGACTTGACAGAGGAGGAGCTCAACGAACCGATGAGTCAGATGGATAAGGCTCGGTTGAGTTCCGACATCAAATTACTCCCGCAGGACAAGATCAATCGCGTCCTTCAGATCATTGCGGAAGCCGTTCCGGTAGCCAAGTTGGCTAACGAGAACGACGAAGTAGAGTTAGACATCAACGCGTTCGACACGAGGTGCTTGCGAATGCTGGAAGGATATGTTAGGGTAAGAATCTCACGCCTCTTCAAGCTACTATCACTCGCACCAGTAACTAAGCATTCGCTGTTGATCCTTTGTGTAGGAAAACGGGATTGGCCGCAAGCGGAAGCGCCCGGCCAAGAAGGCGAAGATGCAGCCAGCTGAAAAGCGACTTAAGTCTGCCAAGGTGGCGGCACTAAATATCCGCAACCGACAGGAGGAACTTAAGAACCAGCTGGCAGCAATTGATCGCGACGTTACCGGTGCACCGCGTACGGGGGAGAACGGCGATCGACGCTCAGAGCAAGATGTTGCCATGACCGACGTGGATGCCGATACGGAAGCTGGAGCTGCGAAGAAGGCAGGAGAGAGTTCGGACAGTTCGTCTAGCTCTTCCGAGTCGTCAGACTCGGATAGTGATAGCGATAGTGAATCCGATTCGGACGACGACGGCGGTGCTCCTCTCGAAAGGGTGGGTTTGTGAGATTTAATTGAGCGAGTGAGTCTTTAGAGCGGAGATGGTTCAAGTTTATTAATTAACGCTTTTTTTTCTGCCATGTCCACAGTCCCCTCCGCTCTCAAGCGCCCCGAGTCTGTCACAGCTCGACCCCTCAGCTTCCGTCCATTCCGGTTAGTGGCTTTGAAACGCCGAATTAAAGTTAAAACCTGGTGCTAATATTGTGATGTGTAACAATAGATGCTGCCAAAAAGATCCGAGACGAGCAATTGTCTAGTTCAGAGCCTCTTCGTGTGGAGAACCGCGGGGCTTGGAGCATGTTAGCCAAGAAGGAAACTCCGAATGGAACTCCACTACCTCAGTCTAATGGCGGCAGCCAGACGAGCTCGTTGTGGCTTTCTGCACGCTCGATGGAGCAGATCAAGCAACAGAAGATCCAGCAGAAGGAGAAGGAACGTTCAGATGAGCTGGAAGCTCAGAAACGCCGCGAAATTGAGCAGCGCGAGAAGGAAAAAGGGCGTGAACAAGCTGAGCGGCGCAAGCAAGAGCAAGAGCAAGCAGCAAAGCTCGCAGAGGAGAAACGGCTTCGAGAGGAACGTGCTCGCGAAGCTGAGCGTGCTCGTCAGGCACAGCTTGCTATGGAGCGCGAGAAACTGGCGCGTGACGACGATGTCGAGCTCCACGACGCCACACTGAGCGAGGATCTGGATGCCTTCAGCTCGTCCTCATTTTTGTAAAGTCGTTGAGAACGACGAGGTGAGCAAGACGGAAGTGTATCCCCCCTTCGACGGACGTGCAAAGTTTTTAGTAAGCTGCCGTCGAGTGCGTACGTTCGTTTGATATTTATGCCGGTGACTCGATTCTGAGCGTATCCAAAAGAACACCAGGTAGTAAGAGTAGCTAATCTATCTAATCAAGACAAAAATTGATAGCAACTTGTGGTTTCAAACGTCTTTTCAATGAAAAAGTTTTCATTCTTAGATTTCGAGTTGCAAATGGCTCAAGTGAATGATCTTCACAAGAAATTCGAGGAGTTGAACGAGGAGATCTCGGCTGCGCTTCGAGTGCAACAAGATGCTGTGACCAATGCAAATACCTTCACGGGTCGCAGTACTCTTGTTGCAGCACGGAAAGATGCGCTGCGTCTAGCCAAGAAGACTACGGATTGGCGAGGCGACGTGACTGCACTGGCAAAGCACATCGATCTTCAACTGCAAAACAGTCGAGCGTTGCGTTCTCATTACGCGCAGTCGTTGCTGAGTTCGTCGGCTCAGAAGCAACAGGAAGAAGCAGAAGGATCACGATTGCGCTGTTTACGCTCGGATCTGCGACTGCTTCAGGACTTCCGGGTGCATTCTGTGCGTCACCGTGATGAGGAAGATCCAGCACTGCTTGCTGCGATGGAAGAAGAAACGGTGTGAGGGTTGTTGACGTTGTGCTGGAGTACTTAATGACGTTTTGTGTTGTTTCTTGTGTCTTTAGAAACAACTGAAAGCCTTTATTGACAAAAATACTAAGAAGGAGAAAATGGGAGGCAGTCAAGAGCAGTCGGTACTAGCGTTGGAGCTCTTTGAGATGAGGCGAGACATTATGAGTCGGATCTCTGAGGACCTCGTCGAGGAGAAAAAACAACTAGACGTTGAAGTTGGGTACGAAAACGTAGAACTGTACCACGTCAATATCACTATGTTGCTCATGGTTGTGGCTTTTAATGGGCATTACAGTAACCCGGAAGCGCTAGCAAACGAAGGCTTTGGCATTGGCAGCAATGCAGCGACGGAGAAAGATGCGTTGGCGTCGTGGGACACGCAACTCTATATATCCTTTTCATCTATATCTTATAGTGATGGAAGCTACTCACTGTGTTTATTACTGGTGTCCTTAGCGTGGATGATTCTTTTGTCTTTGTTCATGTTCACGTTATTCTCATGCAGGCCCTGGAGGAACTACAAAAGGAGAAACGCGAGAGACTCGCAAATAAAAGTCGCAATTCGGTCGTGGCTATCGCAGGAGCTGAAGGCTTGGATACAGTTGGGACGGAGCCACGAGCGGCGTCACCAACGCGGGCCAGTAGCGACTTAAAGTCTGAAATACTACTTGAAGATGCGCACTTTGCAATGCAAAAGCTGAAACGAGAGGTGGCCGAGCTGAAAACCACGAATGCGAAGCTGATGATGACGAACTCGCAGCTCGAAGATGACCTCGCACATTTACAGGCCAAATTTGAAGAGGAGAAAAGAGCGCATGTAAACGGGAAGAAGTGGTTTCTACCAAAAATCCAAAAGGTAACGTATTATTTCTCATTGTCCGGAGTTCTTGGTACTAACTTGTCTACCTAGATGGAAGATCAGATGCTCAACACCATCAAGGCATTCGAAGAAGTAAAACTCAGTGTAGAGCTCATGACCAACATGTACAAGGTTCGTCAGATTAAATATGGCCCCCAATTGAACTATTCATTATCTTGACAATTGTTGCTCGTAGCACTTAGGCAGCACGTTGACCTTGCAACAAGAAGGTGAAGATGAATTGAAACGGGTACACTCTCAATCGAATATCTGGATGGCTAGCCACGCTACACATTTGCTAATTATTGCGTATTGCAGGAACGCGATCGAGTATCGCTCTTACTAGCTGAAGAGATCAAGAAAATTGCTGCTCTCACCAAGGTCAAGCGTACTTGTCTTTCAACTTTAACAACATGTAGTTTAACATCGTGAGTATTGCAGGAAAACGAGCGCAAGGATCGACTTGTCACGTTAGCGATGGCGGCGCGATATGAAATGATTCAGCTTGCAAACCGTCACGAGAGGCAAGCGAAAGAAGCGTGTGAGCAGCGCGATATTTGGGAATCCCGTGCGCACCAAGCTGAGGCAGAATTAGCGACCAACAAACAACAACTTGAGGAGGCATTCCAGCGACTTGAAGCTACGAATGAGGCGCTGTCAGGTGCAAAGGCGTCGATTGTACAGCTACAAACTGAAGTGCGAGCCACTGCACAGACTGCCGCAGCTAAGGAAGTGGAGTTGTTTGCAGCCTTCGAGAAACAACAAACTGCGTTACAACAAAAACTGGATAAAACCAAACGAGAGCTCATGGAGTCAGTGGCAGAGACGCTCAGTCTAGACAGCAGACTACGTAAAGCTCAAGAGAAGCTTACACAGCAGGCTACTGATGGTACAAGCGCGTAATACAATCACGCTTGGAACATCGTAGTGCAATAATGAATCGATAAATGTAGCAAACCGCTTCCGACTAGATCTCGATATCGCGTTTTTGCGGCATGCGAATGTGGCGCATCGTTGTTCCTTGTTGTGTAGGCTTGAAGGGTGCCTGTTGCCCGTAAGGCTTTGGGATCCCCAAGTCTTCTGGAATGTAGGCATTTGGTCGAGCTTCTGCGGTTGTATATGTGAATTGAGACGGGAAGTTGGCAGCATGTGCGGTTGCAGCCTTCGCCATCTCTGTAGCAGCTCGAACCTCACTATTGTGTAATTTTTGAGATTGCAACCGCACAAGTTGCTGCTCGCAATATGCGTTTGGTGCATAACCCGCTAGAGTGCGCTTTTGGCACTCCTCAACATCAATAGTAGTGTCGTGTTTCTCCTGCTGGAGTTTCATTGCTGTTGCTTGATACATCGACAGCTCAGAGACAACAGCCATCATACGACGCGTTGTCTCCTTGATTCGACCTTGGAAATCGTTCACCCGTTTGGCAAGCTCCAAAGTTTCGCCGCGACGTGCAGCGGCCTGCGTTCGAAGCTTATTGGATAAACCAGTGACTTCTTCCAGTACGAGTTCTTTCTCAAGCAATTGCTCCTTTTTTTGGTGATATCGTTCCTCCAAATATGCAAGTTTGGCTGCCAATTGTTCCTCGTCCGGGTCCTCACCACCCAGAGAACGCCATCGATCGCTGTTCTTTGGAGTTTCTAGATCGCGACACAGCAATTCCGTCACGTCCTTCTCTTGCTTTAATTCTTCTTGTAAGGACAGAATACGTTGCGCAAGCTCAGGTAGATATGGTAACTGTCTCCGAGCATTTTCCAGTTGACGCTGGAGATCAGCGAGTTGGATTTTAAGCACTCGAATTTCCTGGTCTTTGCGTGTCAATCCGGTTTCACCAGCACTGAGAGCTTGTTCCTGCAAATTTGACTTCTCGTAAAGAATACACAACTCGTCGTTGCGATCAATGAGCTGCACACCAGTGGCGTTCCGTGCATCCACTGCAAGCTCGTATTTTTTCTTCAAACGCAGCAATTCCTTCTCCGTATGTGTAATAATACCATTGAGCTTGTCAATTTCAACAATTTGTTGCTCAACCTGTTCCTGTTTCGTCCGATAGGCATCGTGAGACTTGTTGGTGTCGAGACGCAGCGAGTCACGCGAGCATTGCGCTGTCGAATGCGCTAGTTTTTCTTTCACGAGTGCCTTGTCCTTCGCTAGTGACTCGTTACGAAGCACTTCTACTTCGTTGTTAAGAATCTTGATCTTTTCTTTCATCTCAGCTAAAGCTTGAGTCGAGGCCTGGATGAGATTCACGTACTTGTTTCGTTCATTTTTGACGACATCGTACAGGGCTGAGAATTCACGCAAGTGGTTTGTCGTTTCGTTCCACTTCTTTGCCAAGTCAAAAATCACGAGCTCCTTGGTTTTAAGCTCCTGCTGCGTTTGACGCTCGGAATTTAAGGCCGATGTGGCTTCACGAGCTTTCAACTCTCGCTGTGCAGTCAGCATTGTCACTAATTTCTTCTGCTTGCTTTCTTCTATTAACCATTGAGCAACTTCGGCTTCGAATTCGGCCACTTGTGCAGATAGAGCTTCAAGCTCTGCACTTTGAACTTTCTCGCCGTCCTCCTGCTTTAAGAAACGAGCGATGAGTAGATCCACCTGCTGCTTCACGTCCAGTTGACGCTGAGCTTGATCTTTGTTTTCTGATCGTAGTGCTGATATTTGATGTTGTACATCAACAACTTGAGCTCGAAGATTCGGTAGCAATGCCTTGCTACTGTCTAGTAAAAGAATTTGTTTCTTAAGCTCGCGTTTCAAGCGATCATAGTCTTTTTGTGACTTTGTACACCTTTCGTTTTCACGGCGTGTAGCTAGATCCAAAGCCTTTGCACGCATATCAAGTCGAGTCTTCTCTCCAAGTCTCATTACGTTGACATTCTGCTCTTCCCGAAGATGCAGCGTCACATGATCTACGTCTCGCTGACGCTGGTCGATCGTCTCTCGATGTACATCCAGCTTTTGCGCGAGTTCACGATGAACTTCATCGGCATCGCGTAGCTTCGCAGCCGTAGCGTCAACAGCAGCTTGTAACTCGCCAGCGCGAGCCTTATCTTTGTTAGTCTCCTTTTCTAAAGCTGCCACCGCACGTGCAACCACATCAGCTTGTTTTTGCATACGATCAGGATCTCCTTGAAGCTGGTTTAGACGCTTGAGCTCAGCAGCACTAGTCTGCTCAAGACGTGCGTTTTCTTGATGTAAAAAGTCTAACCGCGCTAGATATTCTTTCTTGCGTTGTGTGTCCTTTGTCAGCTCGCTATCCAAGCGATGAGTCTCTTCGGAGAGTCCAGCGATCTCTGTCGTGAGCTGTTTTACCTCAGGTTCGATAAGTTGGGCGTGGGCAGCTAGAATGGCCTCTTTTTCGGCCACCAGATCGGCGTATTCTCGCTGCAGTTCTGTGATTTCGAAGGCTAAGATTGCATCGCGGTCAACGGCTTCAGCCAACTCCTTCAATGCTCGGTCCTTCTCGCGTTCTACGGACGAGAACGCAGCTACTTCTTCTGCCTTGCGAATGGCCTGCTTCTCCACCTGAATCTTCTCCCCAAGGAGATCTCGATTGAGTGCCTTGGCTTCTTTTAACAGTTGTTTCTCGTGTTTGTAAGTGGCCAACACACAGGAGTGGAGCTTGGCGTATTTTTCTTTGTGGAACTGCAGCTGGTCGAGGGTCAGCATGTCCGCCTCGAAGTACTGTTCCAATAAGCGGAAGGCTGACGCTCGAGCCGACATGGCGGTCGAAGGAGCTCCAACTGAAGAGCCAGCTGCTGTTCCAGCATTGTCTCGTCCCCCAAGAACACCAAAGTCTCCGTCGTCCTGCTCTTCGTTCTCTACCAGGTCGTCATTGCTATTGACAGCAGCGCGGAGCCTGTTGCTAGAGAGCGATGGAACCACGCTAGCAGCATCGTCACCTTGAGGCTCTGCCATCTTCTTCACTAGCCTCTAGCTAATATAACGGGTTTCCACGGCACTAACGAGTAGAGAAGAACGCCATTTATAGGCAAGCGCGCATTCCCGTGCAGTTTCCCAGTTGAAGTGACCATCACTCCGATTTTGGTGCGAATTTGGTGTTGATGACATAATGTATCCATCCCCCCAAACAATCCAGAGCTGTGTCATCAAGGCCTAGTCTGATTGGCGTCATCGTGTTGAACGAGCTCCTTCTCTTCCTCCAAGAGAGAAGGGCATCGTCGTTTCCCTCTTTTCCTCCGAATGTCGACGTCAAGTGTGCAGATTTGCCGTCGCAAGAGCTGCACACGTCTAGATCTGGAGTGGAGCTGCGGTTTTCCACACGACACCATGGAGATGAACAGCGTTACAATCGAAGACCTGGACAAATACATTGAGCCAAATAACAAGGAGCAGGGAGTCGTGAGCTCCGACGTCTGGGGCACCGACATCACCACTTCTGATTCGGACAACGTCGTGCCCTCGTCCGAGTTCAACGATGCTCCGTTTGCCGTGCACTCGCGCGGGATCCGCAAGATGTGGGCCGAACCAGACTCGAGCGGCGTCCTGGTGCGCGGCAAAACGTACATGGACGACCTGGTCAAGGTACCGGCCGGGAAAGCCATCGGCAAGTTACTACACGTTGACCTGTGGAGGTTTGAAACGGCTGAGGAGCGCCACCATCTTGCTATGAAGGAGGAGACACGACCTAACAGCGTGCTCGTCTATTGTCGCGAAAAGTTTCCCGACTCCCGAGTGTTTATCGTCAATATTGAATTGCCCAACACGGACAATCTGAGCATCGTGATCTATTGGCTCATACCACCTGCACCGAAGAATCCAGAAGAGGAAGGCACGGCAGCTTTCCACCGTTTATTCAACCGATTCTGTGACGAAGGAGACGACGACTTTCGTAACAATCGCTTCAAGCTCATCCCGAACCTTGTAGAAGGTCCGTGGATCCTGCAGACGCTGGTGCCCAACCGTCCAGCACTCACTGGTAACAAACTAACGCAGCGCTACTTCTGTCGTAGCAACTACTTCGAACTGGACTTGGATGTAGCCTCCAGCACAGCGGCACAGTACATTGGGTCGATGTGTCAGAGCTGGGCTAGCTACCTGCAAATGCATCTCTACTTGACTCTTCAAGGCGAGAACGAAGATGAACTCCAAGAACGGATTCTCGGCGGCGTCGACGTCTCGTATTTAAATCTCGAGCTCGCGACGGAATTCAGTTAAGTTTAGTGCTCAGACATGTATGAGCCAGTAGTGCTGGAGAATCTAGAGACAAGGGCTGTTTATTCACGAGGCAGATGTACATGGTTCTCGGTTTACTTGGCCTCGGGAAGTACTTTGTATGGGTTTAGTATCCCCTTGGGGTCCATCATGTGCTTCATCTGTTGCATGAGCTTAATGGCGTTGTCAGACTTGGACATGTGAAGGTACTCGGGTTTGTGTGTGCCAATGCCGTGTTCAGCACTGATGCTTCCACGGTATTTGGATGTCCACTCGAAGACGAACGGCTCCAACGCATTGAACACTTGTTCATCGTACTTTAGAGTTGAAATGTTCAGGTGAACATTGCAGTCGCCAATGTGACCGTAACATACCACCTTAGCATCCGTCGGAGCGAGTCTTTCCCGAGTTTCCTCTGCAATTTTGTAGTACTGTTCAATCGGCAAGGACACGTCGTACTTGTACACGTACCCACGCGCCGCAAGTGCAACGGTGATGTCTTCACGGATCAAGAACAATTTTCGTGCTTGCGCTTCGTCTTGAGCCACTGTACCGTCAACTACGACGCCAGATCCCATGACACCCTCTAGGTACTCGTTCAGCTTCTCCATGTCATGATTGGCATTGCTACCCGATGTCTCGATCAACACGTAATACGGACTTGGAGTCTCGAGCGGATCTTTCGTCCAGTCTTGTTGCGACAGCACCATATCGAGAGATTGGCGGTCCATAAACTCCACTGCTGACAGGACTTCTCCTAAGTGTTTCTTGGCCTCGACGAAAGCCTTCTGAACTGATGCGAAGTCTTCGCAAGCCAGAAGGGCGACATTCTTTGAGGACGAGCGTGGAGGCGTCAAAATCGACACCTTGGTTACCACACCCAGCGTACCCTCAGAGCCGATGAACAACTGCTTCAAGTCGTAGCCCGTGTTGTCCTTGCGCATCGTGCTGAGGCAGTCGATCACTGTACCGTCCGCAAGTACGGCCTCAATACCCAACACCGTTCCGTGCAGAGATCCATACCTTAGCAGTCGAAGACCACCAGCATTGGTCGCGACATTGCCACCAATTTGACACGTTCCTTTGGCTCCAAGATCCAGCGGCATCATGTAGCCGTGCTTGGCTACGTAGTTGTCCAGGTTCTCCAGGATACAGCCAGCCTCACACACCAAAATGCCCGACACCTCGTCAAACGAGATCACGCTGTTCATTGAGCTCGTGGATAGCACGATCTCGTCGTAAACCGGCACGCTGCCTCCCACGAGACCCGTGTTGCCTCCCTGTGGCACAACTGGCAGGTTACGCTCGTTGCAGTATTTGAGGATGGCTGAAACTTGCTCTGTGGTCTTGGGTTTAAGCACCATCTGGTGGTTGCTCTGTGCCTTGTACTTCTTAAGCCAGTCCACCGTGTAGGTCTCGGTGTCATCCACGTCGGTGAGCACGCTCTCGGGTTTGAGTAGCTGCTGGAAGTAAGCTTTGTCATCTTCCGTCCAGGAGGCGTGGGCGGGGTTGCGCGCGGGTGTGGAAAAGGCGCGTAGACCCGCAGACTGCTGGACGGTGGAGAGGGCCCTATTCTGACGACGAGCGGTTCGCAGGAGCGTAGGGAGGATCATCTTGAGTCGGACGGAGTCGAATCCAGAGCGACGTACGTATCTTTTTGACTGGCGAAATATGCGCAAACAGCTTCGTGCAACATTCAAACGACATCGCAAGTTGAAGTTGGCTCAAACAGGACGAATTGCTGCCAAGCTGTCCATTCCTGCCCTGCTAGCAGTGCTACAGTGTGACAAGAAGATATCGCACTGCGAACATTTACCACGGTGAGCGTTGGTTATTTCCGATGCTAACACCGCTTTCGTTTTTAAAAAAATGCGCTCGTTTATTGCTCAATAGCGCTCGAACTACAGGTCTATTCGCTTGCGGGCAGAACCTTGTACGGGTTGAGGATACCCTTGGGGTCCATCATCTGCTTCATTTGCCTCATGAGCTGGATGGAGTTGTCAGACTTGGACAAGTGGAGGTACGACGGCTTGTGCGTTCCGATACCATGCTCCGAGCTGATGCTTCCGCGGTACTTGGACGTCCACTCGAAGACATAGGGCTCCAGCGCATTGAACACCTTCTCGTCGTACTTGAGCGTTGAGATGTTGAGGTGCAGGTTGCAGTCTCCCATGTGGCCAAAACCGACCACCTCAGCACCTAGAGGAGCCATTTTCTCACGAACCTCTTCCACGATCTTGTAGTACTGGTCCATGGGCAGCGAGATGTCGTACTTGTACACGTACCCACGTGAGCTCAGCGACATCGAGATATCCTCACGCAACATGAACAGCTTCTGCGCCTGGGCCTCGTCTTGAGCAACCGTACCATCAACCACAACACCAGATCCCATGACATCTTCCAGGTATGCCTCCAACTTCTCCATGTCGTGGTCAGAGTTGCTACCCGACGTCTCAATCAACACGTAGAATGGGCTTGGCGTCTCGAGTGGATCTTTCGTCCAGTCTTGTTGAGTAAGAACCATGTCCAGAGACTGACGGTCCATGAACTCTACGGCCGACAGAACCTCGCCCAGGTTCTTCTTCGCTTCGACAAACGCCTTCTGGCAAGCCTCGAAGTCTTCGCAAGCCAGAAGGGCGACATTCTTTGAGGACGAGCGTGGAGGCGTCAAAATCGACACCTTGGTTACCACACCCAGCGTACCCTCAGAGCCGATGAACAACTGCTTCAAGTCGTAGCCCGTGTTGTCCTTGCGCATCGTGCTGAGGCAGTCGATCACTGTACCGTCCGCAAGTACGGCCTCAATACCCAACACCGTTCCGTGCAGAGATCCATACCTTAGCAGTCGAAGACCACCAGCATTGGTCGCGACATTGCCACCAATTTGACACGTTCCTTTGGCTCCAAGATCCAGCGGCATCATGTAGCCGTGCTTGGCTACGTAGTTGTCCAGGTTCTCCAGGATACAGCCAGCCTCACACACCAAAATGCCCGACACCTCGTCAAACGAGATCACGCTGTTCATTGAGCTCGTGGATAGCACGATCTCGTCGTAAACCGGCACGCTGCCTCCCACGAGACCCGTGTTGCCTCCCTGTGGCACAACTGGCAGGTTACGCTCGTTGCAGTATTTGAGGATGGCTGAAACTTGCTCTGTGGTCTTGGGTTTAAGCACCATCTGGTGGTTGCTCTGTGCCTTGTACTTCTTAAGCCAGTCCACCGTGTAGGTCTCGGTGTCATCCACGTCGGTGAGCACGCTCTCGGGTTTGAGTAGCTGCTGGAAGTAAGCTTTGTCATCTTCCGTCCAGGAGACATGAGCGGGGTTACGTGCAGGTGTCGAGAAAGCTCGCGCGGCGGAGAGTGCCCCGAATTGGCGGCGTGTCGTACGCAGGAGCGTAGGAAGCATCATCACCATTGAGATTCGTCTCGGTGTGTGGTGCTTGGCGCACGAACAGAAATGCCGTGTTGCGGATACCTGCACCAAAGACAAACGTGCACCAAAGATAAGTCGATGGCTCGCGTCGCGCAAACGAAGTTGAAGAATGTTGCGCGAAAGTTACATGTGGTGTAGAAGCTGTGTGGTCGGCTAACTGGCCAACCGATTGGTTATCATCGCGAAGAAGCTCCTCTGATACTCAAGGCAAATTCGTCCGCATTGACCACCTATTACTACGGCCATGTTGACATGTACAGCCTGCCGCTTGGAGTTCGCTTCGCCTGCGGAGCAGAAGGACCACTTCCGCATGGACTGGCACCGCTACAACCTCAAGCGTAAAGTGGTTGAGCTGCCGCCTGTGTCCGAGGAGCAGTTCGAGCTTCGCATGCGCAAGGTGCGCGAGGAGAAGGAAGCACAGGCTGCCAACGATCCCAAGCAGAAGCAGCGTGCTCGCAAGGAGCAGATAAAGAAAGCAGGCGTCAAGACCTTGCTGAAGTGTGTGCCGTGCAACAAGACCTTCACCACCACAAATGCACACGAGAACCACTTGGCGTCTAAGAAGCATTTGGCTAATGCCAAGAAGAATCCTGAGATCGCCTCAGCAGTGGAGAAAGTTGAGAAGCAGATGGAAGTTGTATCGCTGGAAGATGGCGCTGATGAAGACGCACAGCCCAGCGAACCAAAGGAGATGACAGAGGAGGAGCTGGCCAAGGAGATCGAAGAGTACAAGAAGCAGGTGCCGCTCGAAAAGGAGGACTGCATCTTCTGTTCGCATCATGCTGCGGACTTTGACTCGTGTTTGACGCACATGCTGAAGGAACACGGTTTCTTCATCCCGGACGTGGAGTTTTTGGTGGACCTGGAGGGTTTGATTGGCTACTTAGCCGAGAAGGTTAAGGTTGGCTTCTACTGCTTGTACTGCAATGGCAAGGGCAAGTCCTTCCGGTCTCACCAGGATGTACAGAAGCACATGACGTCGCTTTCTCATTGCAAGTTGCGCTATGAGGACGAGGATCTGGACGAGTTGGTGGAGTTCTACGACTTCTCGACGCAATTCAAGAAGAACAAGACTGTTGCTGAGGAGGAAGTCGAGTGGGAGACAGACAGTGAGGCTAGCATTGACAGTGACGAGGAGGTCATGGAGGAGGAAGAGCTTGAGCAGGACAGTGATGAGGACGACGAAAACACTATCGGTGTGTCCGAGACGGGAGAGCTAGTGCTGGCTAGCGGCCGCCGTCTCGGTCGCCGCGAATTCCGCCGCTACTACAAGCAGAAATTCCGTCCGGACGAGACGCGTGCGTCGGTGCTTGCTGCTCATAAGGAGCACCTCCTGCTGGCATACCAGACAGCGGGTGTCGACCCTCGCGGTGGCAGCACGGCGTTATCGACAGCGTTCGTGGCCAACTTCCTCAAGAAGCGCAACAATATCGCTGGTGGCATGTCCATCGTCGAGGCCAAGCGTAAGAACTTTTGGCACGAGAAGAATCGCTCTCGTCTGGACAACCGTAGCCACAAACTGCAGAAGAATCCGAACCGTAGAGCCATGGTGACGGTCTAAGTAGAAAGAAATGCACAACAATACAAGTCCATTTACACATGCCGAAAACTCAGGTTCTGCGATCTGGAAGACTCAGACCCTGCAGTTTCCACATACAGTGGTGCACCTCGTTTTCGACACCGGTATGCCTCTATAACCTTCATAATTTGATGATTACGCTCAGTGCTTTGCGCAAATCGTTTGCCCATCACCGTTGGCTGAATTAACCTCAATGGTTTTCCCGGAGGGATGACACGTCGCGCCGCAGCGACCTCACTCTACCGAACAGACGAGTAAATACTGAAGCTTACTTTATTTTTTTGCTGTATCATACCATGGCACGTCGCCCCTCCGCCTATTCTACGCTAAGTCTCGCTGACAAGCAGAGGCGAAAACAATAAACCAGACGATATTTAGAAACTGCTGGAGTCTCAGCGGAATATCGTGTAAAAGATGGGCTGAGATTTATACTGAATTAACGTAATAAAAACAGTACAATTGGCCCATCTGCGTTCCTGCATAAATTTTCGCCGTTGGCAGACTCTATATGGTCCACCCTGTCGAAAACGAGGTGCACCACTGTACGTCAGCCCCAACATGAGTTGGATCCAAGGCAAAGTCTCCGCGTGCAGCGGTCCCTGTCCAGCCATCTTTGCTTTCGTAGCGTGTAGGCAGGCTCGTCTTTCTTTTAGTCAGAAAGTGCCAACACCGATAACGCCCAGATTGTCAAGGCGTGCGACCTTCTCGCCGAGTTCGCGGCGCGATACTCTCGGTGTCTCCTTCGTTGTCACTTAACGCATCTTAACTGGTCGCGAACAGAGAGATTCCATCACTCCGACAGGCTAAATTAGCTCCACACATACGCGATGTCGTCTTCCCAGCGAGGACAGATTCTCGAGCGCTTGGCTTCAAACAACAACTGTTGTTCTCAAACTTGGCTTCGACTGGAAGCCTGGATCTTGCAGGAATGCTCGCCACTCACTCATACACGCATCGAATCGAGTAAATCAGGGGCGGGTGAGAACACCGCGGTCTTCTGACTCAGAAAAGCAGTGGAGAAAAAGACTGCTATACTTTCTCTCGGTGCTTCACCGAGGCACCACCAACGACCACCATGTAGAACTAAACCCCCAGCTGCACTGCAGTAACAACGCTAGAGTTCCCAGCGTTGCAAATTCGTTCGAGACACCAGCGCTATTGTTTGTGTTGAAGTGCCCTCGCGTCCATGATGTCATCTCTCTCGGATCTGAGCTCGCCATATGGTGAGCCTCAAACTTACGTACCCGTTCCTCCAGCGTCAGAAACGGTTCTAGGAATACTTAATCCAAGTTTAAATTGATGACCCGTCGCTGGATGCCTCGCGTCGTCGATCGCGGTATGTCGCTTGTGTGAGTCCGGGTTGCAGAACTTGCAGTCCAAGATCGATCGCCGGTGGTGAGCGCTGGCCGGTGAGCCATCTCGTAATTTAGCGGCGGAGACGAAGAACGGCAGCGAGCGGATCCATCTCCGCAAGCGAGAGTGATCGAGAGCGATTAAGCGTGCGAGAACCCTACGCTCTGTACCGCGGAGAAGAATAAGGGCCTCGAGTTTCTCACACCTACCGGTATTAATACTAGCCTCAGTCGACGATGAACCGCGTCAACACCTTCTTCTGGTCCCGGTTGAACCCCACGGGCGAGCTCGTGCGCTCTGTGGATGTGCTACTGCGCGAGCTGGTGCCAGACGACAAGCTAGATGCGGCGTTTAAAAGCCTCAGCATCGCCGCGAGCTCCGGCGGGGCACTGGCCGAACGCAAGCCTGAGAGTGACGTGGCCGTCGAGGCGGAGAATGAGCCTAGCGCGGACGCCTGCGAACCAGACTACGAAGGCACCCCACCGCCCGATGAAGAGTCGAGTGACGAGGAGTCTTCTAGCGAGAAGACTGTGTCCGGCGAGCTTGAGCGCAAGTGGGCCAAGATTCGCGCCGTCTTCCACGATTGGGACGAGGAACAAGGTGACCGTGAGAAGAAGATGGACGATATGGCCGAGCTGCTGATGCGCTATCGGGTACTGGAGAAGGTGCTGATGCCCAAAGTGCTGGGCCAGCTGACGTTCGAAACGCGCAAGTACGTGGGCAACGTGTTCCGGGCGATGACAGTGCACAATCTACGCGGCTTCATTGAGCTCATCGGCGAGCGACCAGACATTATGCGGTGGCTAGTCGAAGGCTATAGGAACAACGAAACGGCGCTGATCTGCGGCTCCATGTTACGAGACTGCTTCGAGTACCAGACGCTTACGATGATCTTCCTGAAGGATCTCACGCCAGAGTTCGAATTCCTGTTCAAGGTCACGATGGAGAACAACAACTTCGACATCTCGGCCGACGCGCTCATTAACATCTCGCGGCTATTGACAGTGCATAAGAAGGCGACTATGGAGGTTCTAGATGAGTCGTTCGACCGCGTCTTCGGACTTCTGAATAGCCTATTGACGTCGACGAACTACGCTACTAGGAGGCAAGCACTACAGTTGCTGTCGGAGCTGCTGCTAGACCCTGTAAACTTTACCGTGATGCAGAGGTACGTCGCCTCGCGCAACAATTTGAAGCAGATTATGCTGCTGCTGCGCGAACCAAGTGAGGCCTTGCGAATGGATGCTTTCCACGTATTCAAGATCTTTGTGGCCAATCCGAACAAGTCGCCGGAGGTGGAGCAGCTCCTGGTGCGTAACCGCGAGAAGCTGCTGGCGTTCGTGAGCGATTTCGGCAAGGCCGAATCCAGCCGCGACTTCCTTCAAGAGAGGTCGCTGCTGGTGTTCGCGCTGGAGCGGATGGCTGAGAAAACACAAGAGCTGGCCACGCGGCCAGCGTCCTTGTCGAACGCCGAGCGGGTGCCTGCGTGTGCGGATCAAAAGTAGACGCAAGTAGCTCGCCGGTAAGGCAGTACAAGATAGTATTTAAAAGTATAGGGAGGTACCATGTGCGCCAGGTTGAGCGCGACCAAGATTTAAATGCTGCAATGGCAATAGCAACTAGGAATTTCGTGCAATTTGGTGTTCATCTATGCCGCACTTTGCGATGGGCTTTTCGGGCATCGAAACGCCACGTTGATGAACATGAACATGATACGGAAATTGGCCTTGAATGGGCTCGTGCCTTCCGCTGCTGCGACTAGAGTGAATTAACTCAAAACTTTGAGCCCTCGACCTGTCTTGCACCCGTGCATGTTGAGCTGCACTGAAAGCGCCATGTCGTTAGAGCGTCACACCCAGATGGCTACAATTTTTGGCGACAAACCTGACACGCTGGTGCGACATTGGCGCAACATTAGCCGAATGTTGTTTTCGAGCTTCTGTTTTTCCCATACTGTCGTGCAGTCGAAGAACGAGGACGAGGCCTGCGCAGGAAAGCCTCGCCGGTCGATTGTTTTAGTGGCCGCGCGCAGCTCTAACCAGCAGTTCGCAGTGCGCCGATCCCTCGCAGCGTGGAAGCGCTCTCTCTGCGATCATCGCGCTTGCTATTTTTCCTCTCGGAACGTCCCCTGTACGTATCACGCTGTCCAGTCCACAATGATCGATGAAGACTCCATCTCGGTAGTGATCACGGCCTCCAAGGAAGTCGAGGGTGGCGATACGCTCGATAACGGCGAAGGCAACATCAAGCTCCACAGCAAGCGCAACAAGTATACCATATACACGGTCTTTGTACGCAACGTCACAACTGGAGGCAAATGCGTCGTACGGAGGCGTTACTCGGACTTCTTCAAGCTGCGCAAGGAGCTCATGGAGCTCGTGTCCTGGGGCCACTGTGGCTTCTGCGAGCAATACGTGCAACAGATCGCGGGCTACCCGTTCCCGCGCCGACGGCTGCTGCGCTCGAGTCGCGCGGCCGTCGTGAAGGAGCGTATGGATAGCCTCGGACTGTTCCTGAGGCACATGCTGCTGTGCATCATGGCCCGCAGCTTCGAGAACTGCTCACAGGCCTGCGAGAACATTGAGAACTGCATTTTGAAGTCCTTTTTGCAGATGGATCAGACGGAAACCCTGTTTCCGACCATGGCGTCCAAGCAGCGTCCCATCGATATCCTACAGGCTATGGAAGAGAAACGCCAGCAACAGATCAAGGCCGCCGGACTCCGCACCAAGAGCCTGGCGTATACGACGCTGTCGGACCAGAGCGACCAGCTCAGGCTGTCTCGCAACCAGCGCCAAGTCGGCACGGACACATGTCATCTCTGTCTTCAGAAGTGGACGCACTGCTATTGCAACAGCGACCAGGACAGTGTTTACCCTGTCAACGTCGCTAGAGTGAGCAACGGCTATGAGAGTCCGGTCCATGAGCGTCCCAGCGTCTCGATGGTCGAGAGCGACACAAGCCGATGCAGTCGCTGTGAGAACGACTGGAACCACTGCTATTGCTGTCAACAAGTATCTCCGACGGCCTCATCGGTATGCACGGACCGCTGAGCGACATCATGTCATGATGTAACCCCTGTGCTTCTCAAACCATAACCTCTGCCCAATTATTGTTAGGCGAATCTTGAAAAAAATATTGTTATTTCTGACTGGTCCATCGCATTCCAATTATGGGTACTCTGAATTGCAACAACCAAAATCACATAATTGGGCGTGCATTTCAAAATGAGTGGGCGCAGGTATGCCCTGCCATGGCTTGACTGGGCCGAATGGCAGGAGGTGCATGTGGGTCTCTTCAGCAGTGACCCGTTCGCCCAGCAGCGCGTCGTCTCTCGTGTGGCTTCCTGGCGCAGTCGTGTGCAGCTTCCTGTCGCTATCAACGCCACGGCGCAGCTTGTGGAGCTGCAGCTGCATGAGAGTATGGCGCAACATCATCATCACGCGGTGGGTGTGAGCTCGCGATCCCACATGGAACTTTCATTGCTGTACGCGAGTGTCATCGTGCGTTGCGTGAATGGTCTAGTGGACGGCTCACAGAAAGGAGCGTATGCCACGGCCGTCAGCACATTGGCACAACGGATCGGCATCCCGCTCTGGATCGTAGACCTGCGTCACGAATCCTCACATAACCAGTTGCCGTCGCTACCGGTATTACGCTTCGCCGCTCAGCATCTACTGGCATGGCTTCGTTCTAACTATTGGGGAGCTCAGGAGGACCTGATTCGAGGTCAAGTGCATCATGTGGCGCATTGGCTGTTTGAACAGCTTCCACACCTGAACAAGCAGTCGAGCGATGAAGAGATGCAAGTGGGCGCGACACAGGACGTTCCAAAGCCAGTGTTGGATGCAGACAATCTACGCAATATTGTGATACCATTGCTGGTGGTAGGAGAGCAGTACAGCGAGTGCTTAGCTCCGACTGGGCTGCTGTTCCTCGAAGCAACGCCGCCTGAAGACCAAGATGCTGCTGAGATCTTCCAAAAGGAAACATTTATCACTTTGTTACTGCAATTGCAGCCACTGTGGAGAGGGTTTAGTGCCTCGTTGCTAGCGAAGTTATGTCAGAAGGTGTTTGATACGATCTGTCCGCCTAAGTCTCGTCGACAAAGCGAAGAGGAGGGAGAAGAAACCACACAAGATGGACAGAGCATAAATGCTTTACAGCAGAATGAAGTGGACATGACGCTACACTGGATTAAGTTCATGGTGAGCAGCGAATACCGTGCGAGGATAAAGCTTCAAATCGGCCCAATTGAAGATTTGTGCCAATGTGGAGCTGAAATGCTTGCTCTTGCCGAGAACCTCAAGGCTAATGAAGCCGCAGAAGATCAAACCGATTTGCTAGAACGTTTGCTGACTACATTGAGGTCAAGTAAGGGTATTAGAAACCACTCAACTCTAGCAACTGAAGCCGCAATTGCTACCAGTTTAGCAACGGAGTCCGACGCAGGCTGGACCCAATTGCCGGCTTGGGTGGAGAGCCCACTTGGGCTTCGCTACTGCTACACTAGTCACCGCAGCTCCAACCAGCGTCAAGTGTGTGAGTTTTCACATGACGACGACATGTTGACGCCAGACAGCACGGCGTTTGTCGCTCCTGACGAAGACGAAGAGGACAACACCAAAGTGGACCCTGAAGATGCAGAGAAAGCTATCGATGCTCTTATGGAGGATTTGGATGCAGCTTACGACACCGCTCTTCAACACAACCTTGAGTTACAGACCATGATCGCTCGTGACGGCCTTCGGCAAGGCAGTAGCACTACAGTGCTACACAAACAAGAACTGCAGCGTATTCAGGAGGAGATCGAGATCTGGTAACCATAACATAGCGTGCAAATAGAGACTTGAACCGTTAGGACACATGTTCGTCTTCCATTATTCGGTCAGAGGAGAGCTGGCAGCTTCCATGAGTCTACAAAATAAACTTGGAGAGGTCCGTCTTCTTCATGAGTTTGCCGACACGTTCAAGCACGAACTCCTTCGTGATCGTGACAGTGGAGCCCGGCGCCATCTCGGAACTGTCAAAGCTAATTTCCTCCACCACCTTCTCCACCACAGTGTGCAGACGTCGAGCACCAATGTTCTCAACTGTCTTGTTAACTTCCGCAGCGACACGAGCGATCTCGCGAACAGCATCGTCAGTAAAGTTCAAGGTAACGCCCTCCGTCTGGATAAGCTCAGTCTGCTGCTTGATGAGGTTCGTCACGGGTTCCGTTAGGATACGGTGCAGGTCTTCCTCAGTCAGTCCCTTCAGCTCAACACGAATAGGCAGACGACCCTGAAGCTCAGCAAGCAGATCCGACGGCTTGGACGAGTGGAAAGCTCCAGAGCCGACAAACAGGATGTGGTCCGTGTTAACGTTGCCGTGTTTCGTAGAGATCACACTGCCTTCAATCAGAGGCAACAGGTCACGCTGCACACCTTCGCTGCTGGGGTCCGAAGAGCGACGGTAGTCTCCACTAGAGCAGATCTTGTCGATCTCATCGATGAACACGATACCGTTCTCCTCAGTCTCCTGGATAGCTTCACGCACGACATCCGTCATGTCGATGGCGTTCTCCATCTCCATCTCTTCGAAAACTTCACGGGACTCGGCAATCGTCATGCGTTTGCGTTCCGTCTTCTTCTCTCCGAATGCTCGGCCAAATACTTCCATGGAGATACCTTTTCCTTCGCCTCCGACGAACGAGATAGGCTGACCGCCAGGGTTCTTGGACACAGGGACATCAAACTCGATAATACGGTCTTCCAGCTCTCCGGTACGTAGCAGACGCTCGAATGTGGCGCGTGAACGCTCCGCTACGTTGGCACCAGTGAGCACGTCCAAGATGCGGCTCTCAACTAGGTGCTGCACCTGCTTGCGTAGACGCTCCTTGCGGTGCTTCTTAACCATGTTGATGGCATTTTCCACGAGGTCACGGATGATCTGGTCCACGTCGCGGCCGTGGAAACCCACCTCGGTAAACTTGGTGGCTTCCACTTTGACGAACGGAGCCTCGGACAGCTTGGCTAGGCGACGAGCGATCTCCGTCTTGCCACACCCCGTAGGACCGATCATCAGAATGTTTTTAGGGCTCACCTCTTGGCGCAGCTCGTCTGAGATCTTCTGGCGACGCCAACGATTGCGCAGCGCGATGGCCACAGCGCGTTTGGCGTCGGCCTGGCCCACAATGTACTTGTTAAGCTGCTCCACGACCTCGCGTGGCTTCAGATGGCGACCAATATCGTCCTCGTCTTCTTCCTCAGCCGCAGCCTCCTCCACAACCTGCACCGGGACACTAGCATCTTCCTCCGAAGCCTTGGGAGCGGCAGTGGAGAACGTACGCAGCGTCTGAGGCGACTGGAACAGCGCACGCGACTGGATCTGAGAGTATGAAGCAGCACGAGGAGCTGTCACTTGCTGCGCGCGGCGCGTGAGGCTCTTGAACGCCTGCGAGTGCACGGCGCGACGCATCCTGGAAGCCTTGATTGCTCCTTGAGTTTCTTTTTCGCGAATGCTGTCGTCCCCTCCTTCTGCGACGGAAGATACAAGCGGAGCACATACCAGTGATTATCACGTATCAGATTTTCTGATTGATGTAGATGATATGACATCTGCAAACAACATGGTTTGTTTCCTTTGTCATTGCATATTCTATCATGCATCTATTATAGAAGGCTATGATTTAAATAAGATGCACACATCCTTGGACCAATCAGCGCTAATAAACTGCAGTTTTCCTCCAATCGCACCCATCACATTCGTGACGTATACCACACCATTTGAACCATCACTCACGCATTTCATTTTATCACCACCCGCGGATATCCCAGACTTGATTCCGCACTCGACGTCACCAAGACGCTGCCGCTATGGCCCCCAAGAAGAACAAGCAGCGCGAGAAGCAGGAGCAAAGCCGCGCGTCTTCGAGTGCACGTGCGCACCAGTCGCTACTGTCCAGTGCGGGCTCCAACGCCGCGCCTCCCGCCTTCATCGGCTTCGCGAGCTTCGCGCAACCAGCGCCAAATGCCGTGCAGGCTACACCTAAGGCTGGTGCATTTTACGCTAAGCCTGTTGTGCAGAGCATCTACGACGGATCGGACCACGAGATCGCGCTGGCACTTAAGATGCTGGCCAAGAAGGGTGCTGTGACCAAGATTAAGGCACTACAGACCTTCCTTACAGATGTGCTGCCTCCACGCCAGCCCGCTGAGATCCGTCCCATGCTCGGCCACTTCACGCAGCTCTACACGTTTGAAATGCGCGACCAGAATGACCGCAAAGTTCGCCAGATGCTCAACGAGGTGCTGGCTGCACTGGCCGACAAGATGCGGCCTCGTGCCTTTGTCCCGCACCTGCAGCGACTGTTGCCCTACTGGTACTTGGCCATGCACGACGTCAATGCGGATGTGGCTACAGTGGCCAATAAGGCGTTCAACGCGCTGTTCCCAGAGCCAGAGATGCACAAAACTGTGCTGGAGGAACATCTATCAGCGATTATGGAGGAGTTCCAGAGCTTCTTCTCCAAAAGCCCAGATACATTCGAGGGCATCCCATTGCAACCTGACGAGAAAGAAGAAAGATACGAGAGATGCGTCTCCGCTGCGGTGCTCAGTATTGATGCGGTGGTCAAGTTCTTTAACAACCAAGAGATGACAGACAAACTAAACGACCAAGATGCCAGCCTCTCGGTTGCCACAGTGTTGTCTTCCGATAAGTTCACGCGTCTAGCAACTGCGTCGTCCAAACACCCGAATTTCTCCCGTGATATCGTGAGGAGAGCAGTGTATGTGCTGCTTGTGACGCTTTGTACTAACGCCAAGTCGATTATTGCTGCCCGTGAAGAATCCTTTGGCAAGGTGGTTCTTGGAATTCTCGGCGATAAAAGCCCTGCCAATCACGAAGCCATGTGGAATGCCGTACTCACGTTCCTACACACGTTTCCCGACGTGTGGCATTCAAGCGTCAGCTTCCCTAAATTCGTGACGAGTGCTGTGTACCCGCGTGTGTTTGCCCAGATCAGACACGGATTCTACGGCTCTGGTCGATCTTCATTCCCCTCGCTGCTGCCGTTTTTGTCGTTGGTTCCCCTGAGTGTCGCTGTTGATCCAGCCAAGGGCCAGTCAGCACTGTATACAGGAGTGCTGGAGCAGTGCTGGAAGTTTATTGAGTCGAAAGATGCGCGATTCAGTGAACCTCCAGCGATTACAGCGTTTTTCGAGTGTATTACAGGTATGTTTACTATCTTCTTGAAGAAGAAAGCGAATGCGACATGGTTGAGTGAACAGAATGCTGGGCCTTTTAAGACCAACTATGTGAACCAGTTCGAGAAGGTCTTCGTGTCGTCGCTCACGACGACGCTTAGTTCTCCGGAGTTTCCAGACGGTGAAGTCGGTCTCTTTGCTAGCAGCATGCTGAAGTTGAACAGCCGGTTAAGCAGTTTTTCAAGTGATTCCGATGTGATTAACAGTCTGAAGGATGATTTTATGGAGAAGCTTCATTCATGGACAAGACAAGCTATCAGCTCGATGGTGGCCAAGATATCGTTCGTGCCTTCGAGAGTGAACACATTGATTAGTGCAGGCGTTGCTGATGCTAGGGGCAGGAATGAAGACCATGAGGCTGCGCAGTGGTTATTGACGAGCAAGGAACTCTACGGACAGTGTCTGGACCAAGTGGACAATCAAGTGATCGAACCGACCTTCTCCTCAGCCAAGAACACGTCGATTATGCAATTATTGGAGGCGATTCATGGCGTTTGCGAAGGTCATCCGTTGGATCTGTTGGTTTTGAATGGCACTGATACGCCAGTTGAGACGCATTTCGATGACCACTACCGCCCCGTGCTACGTGTACTGTCGGAGTGGAAAAGATCAGGTGGTAATAAGAGCGTGGATAAGACAATGTGTGTTGCTCTGCAGCTCACGCGGCCATTTTTCCTCGCTGCAAAAGAGAAGAAACAGTTTTTGCTGCAACTTTTCCGGGATTGCGACGTTCAGTTCGGTGATATGGCGGAGGCGAGCGATATCATTCAGTACGGACTGCAGTTCCCGATTACAGAGCAGAGTAACAAGTTGTGGCTGTCCTGCGGAAGCTGGCAAAGTCGCTATGATAGTGGAGTATCATCAGTCAACGATGAATCCGGTCCGGTTTTACAGGGACTCCAAGCGATTTGGCAAGGCAAGCTGCTAGACGAGTTTTTGATGATTAGTTTGAAGGGGAGACTCGACGACTTGGATGCTAGTGCGTTCGCCACTCTTCTGAAAGCATGTCTTGGTGGTCTGAATAGCGCTCCTGTCGTAAGCTCTGATGCAGTGGTGATCTTGTGTCACTTTGTGATTCAAAACGGTGCAGACAGCAGCGACGCAGTTGTGGTGCAGATTCTAACTCAGCTTTGCGAGCTGTTTTTCAAGCTTAACGGGGAACTTCCCGCTGAACTTGAAGCAGTGGAAGGCCAACTTTACAAGCAGCTCTTCCACTTGTCGGCGCGAGGCAACTACCGAACTGAAGCTAGTGCTCTGTGGGCTCGAACTGTGCGTCACTCACTCAAGAAATGGTCGTCAACGCGAACAGAGGCGTTTGTGAACGAGTTGGCTGGACATATCAATGGTTTCCTCGTTGCAGAATTGCCGGCAGGGGCTGTGTCATTCAACACCAAGCTGTTTGCAGCGTACGTCAAGAGCTACGTACAGCTCGGTGCTGATCAGGCATTCTACTCTGTTTCACAGCTTGTGGAGAAACTAGATGCGATCAACTTGCAATGTAGCGAGGATTCACAGAAGAAGGTGTTTTACAGCCGCGTGCTGTCAGGTTTGGGAGAGGTATGTGAGGATGAGCACGTCGTTGCCGTCTTGCAGACATACTGCACCTCATTGGCGTTAGAAAATGAAGAGAAGGCAGTGGATCTTGTTGCGAAGCTGGTGGACCTGGATGTTACTCACGCGTTGACCTGGGTAGTGTTCCATTCCGACGACCATATTCAGCGTGGCGTTGATCTGGTGGAGATTATGGAGAGCTATTTGACCCTGGAGCATTTGTATGAAGCGCTGAAGCAGTCTTCGAGTCTTCTGGATAAGGTTGTTGCAGCTGCTCTTGCTACGTGCCAGGGTAAGCACAAGCGTGAAAGTGAACACCGCGACTTGGTATTTTTGACCAAGAATCAAAGTGCTGTTACAAGTCAAAACGTGAGTTTGCTTACGCAAGAGCAGCACAGGAAGCTGGATGAACTCTCTGTGTCAGTGTTAACTTCTTTCAGCACCGTTGCGAAGCGGGTACAGTTCGTCCAGGAGCTGATAGACGAGAATGGCGACTGGAAGACCGAAGCTACCCAAACTATTGCTATCTCGCTGTTTAGTGCGATGTACTCGGAAGTCAATGACGAAGTCGTAGCAGTGCTTAAGGGCTTCTTTGCTCTATGCGATCGTGATGTTGTCTCCAAGTCTACGAGTGGATTGTTCGAGTACTTACAATTGGTGACGCGAGCAGTAAAAGAAGAGGGCAAACTACCCAGCGTTTCCAATCAAGAAATCATCAATCGCTCGACTCAGGAATGCATTATTGCCCAACTATTGGAGATGCTCGCGCCGAGCTCGTCAACTGTTGTGGAAGTTGAGCAATGGATTGCTATCACTGAATACGCGGGAGCTCTCGCTGAGTACTTACAGGATGTGCCATCAGAATTTCGCGACAAGTGGGAAAAACTCGCACGTTTGGTGATCACACATGCGATCGCAGGCAAGTCAGAGAGTGCCCAGACTGCTGCACTAAAGATACACAAGCGCAGTTCAAGTCTTGGTGATCGTAGGATTATCAAGGGCGACGAGGAGCAGATTGTGCTGGGGTACTCTAACGAGGTAGTCACTGCGCGTTTGGCGTTGATGGAGTTAGTGCGTGCGATGTATGACTTTAACCCTGACGCGCTACATGAGCTTGCTGCCCACTACCGCGAAGCTCTTCTCTCCACAGTGTTGTGTGCACTTTCAGAGAGTGCCGAGATGAAGGCAAGTATCGTAACCACGTACGTGGCGTTAGCGTCTCCATCGCAGTGTTTCCGGCTTGTGAATCTCTGGTTCAGCATCGAAAAGGTACTTGCGAGTGCGCTGCCGGCGTTGCGCTCGACTCTGACGAGTATCCACGATGTTGATCACGTGAACCGGCTTGTACTGGAGTCTTTCGGTGGCATTGAGACTCTCGCGTCACTGTTTAACGGCAAGCGCTACCCTCTGCAGCCAGTGCTGCGTGTGTTGCTGTACATCCTGGCTTCGTACAGCGGAGCTCTCCGTTTGCGCAATTACGACGCGAATGCTATCGATGTGAACGCTGAGGACGAGGCAGCGACTGAATCTGCACTTGCCAAGGTGCTGATTCCGAAGGCCTTGCGCTCGGCGTTGCGTGCTGTGTTCACTGACAAGAACGGCGAGAACAGCGCTGCCAACATCCGCATGCGTAGTCGTAAACAAAAGCTGCAGGAACGAGAGGATATCACAGGCAAGTTGCTTCTCTGGGATCTGTTTCTTCAGCTATTCCCTTCGAGTGGAAGCGAGAGCAGTAGTGAAGGTGAAGGTCCTTCGTCCACGCTGATCGCGTCGTCGCTGAGCTCATACGTCGCGCGTCATGGAATGCTCACGAGCTTCCTGAACTTCAGCTCCGCGTTGCTATCGCAAGAACCTCAGTCTTCATCGAAGGTCTCGGCCTCGGAACTACAAGACACTGCGCTCTTTGATGTGACAGACTTGGACAAGAGGGAGGACGACGAGACGTGGAGTCTCCACAAGACTCGCGTGTTCCAGCTCGGCACTCGTGTCTTCTTCCGTACTGTGGTTCGTCTTCCAGCTATGGTCCGCTCTTGGTGGAACGATGATTGCTCGCGAGCCACGAGAAGCTGGGCTGCCAAGTACTTCGAGGACCACATCACACCGTCAGTGCTTGCAGCCGAGCTGGAACTCATTCAAAAGGCGAGTGAGAGTGCGTCGATTGAGTCCTGGGACGATGAAGAGATGACTGTGAAGGGCAGTCGTGTGTCTCGTGAGATCACCACGACGTACATGAAAGACGAGTGTGCTCTGGAAATGGTGGTGCGCGTACCGTCTTCCTACCCGCTGCGTTGTGTGGAGGTCGAGTGCACGAAGCGTATCGGTATCTCGGAGGATCGTTGGCGACGCTGGGTGCTGCAGATTATTCGCGTGACGTCGTCTCGTGATGGTTCGTTGCTGGATGCTGTGTTGCTGTGGAAACATAACGTGGACAAGGAGTTCGAAGGCGTGGAGCCGTGTCCGATCTGCTACTCCATCCTGAATCCGAAGAACATGGGACTGCCGTCACTGCCCTGCAAGACATGCAACAACAAGTACCACAACTCGTGTCTGTACAAGTGGTTTAACCAGTCTGGCAAGAACAAGTGTCCGATCTGCCAACAACCCTTTTGCTAAGCAAAAAAAAAAGAGAACGAGAAAGAGGGAAAAAAAGATCTTCGGGTTAGTTATTTCAAATAACTTAGAGTGCAACAGGAGTCAGGATAGAGCGATATCTGTTCGTATAGTTGTGTACATTGGTATCTAGCAGATGACGCAGCCGCAGCCCGCTGACTCCACCGTCTTGGCAGTGGCGTGGCCACGTGTGGGCTCTACAGAGCAACAGAGTATCAACATCCTTATCCAGCGTTGAAGTTTCCGCACAATTGCGTACCTCGCACTGCCTGCTGTGACTTGTGGAAGACTGAGACGTTCACAGGCGTCGGATGTGTGTCGAAGGCTGGCACTGCGGACCCCAGAGTGTGTGTGTCCTGCAAAATGCCGCGCCCCATGCAGATTAGACGGACAGATTTCGCGTCCTCAGCGACAGGCACATCTGCAAATGATCGTGTGAAGATAATGGAGACTTTCGAGGTTTTGCGGGTGTGACGACGTACTTTGTGGCCAGCTACGCATGAGCTGCGACTTGGCCTCGGCCACTGTCGCTTCCTTTGGGAAGCTCAGCTCTACGCGCACACCATCCTGATTGGCGAACAGGAACTTGAGCCGCAGCTCATGCTCCGTGCTGCCCATGCTGCTACGTGAGCTCTTCGTCCACAGCAAAAATGATAATGCTTCGATTTAAAGCAAAAAATCTCAGTTGGAAATGCAGTGATTGGATGAAATGGTGGGAAGGAGACATATGATTGGATAGTTGGGTTGAACTGAAGGATTGCAATTCTGTGGCATGTAAGCATTCGTCTGGAGAAGCATTTTCATCGGAGTGGCAACGGCAACAGGGTCGTTTACAAGCGTTTCCACTAAAAATACGCTGCAACTTGATCTAGTTCATGACCAGCAAGTACTCTGCTAGCGCCATTCTCTAAATAATGGCCCTTCCAAATCTGATACCGTTCGCGTTTTCGTCAAATTTGAACGTCGCCCGTTTTTCCTTCTTTTCACTAAAATTGCACATTTCTCACATTGCAAAGTGAACCTCAAGCAACAGACCATACTCCTTGCTAAGGTATTTCGCCATGCAGGGCGCCAACCGCCACGCTGCGTCTGCATCGCCGGTCACGTCGCCGTCCTCGCAGTGGATCCGCTCCATCCAGAACGAGAGTTTCCAGCCCAAGCCCACAGCCTATTCACCGCACTCGCTGGAGGACGAGGACCCGCTCATGCTGCAGCAGCGCCAGTGCAGGGACAAGCTCCGGGTCCTCAAAAAGGTGCGCGAGCGCATCAAATTCTACCCTTTGCAGCCTCTGGACAAACGCGGGGACTCTTCGTCCTACTCGATGAAGATTTCCACCAGCATGATCCTCTCAGGGGCGGACGAGTCTCCGGACTGGCAAAAAGATGCAACTCAGAGTGATGGTCGATCGAAGAATGCAGGTCAAAACGTTGGCATCGATGCACTTGGAGGCTTGGAGATGCTACTGTTTGCCTTCTTCGCTCCACAGGAATTGCTGCGCGTCAGCGGTATCTGTAGAGCGTGGCGAGCGTTGGCACGAGACGAATTGTTCTGGGAACCGCTGCTGTTCACACCGCTGGAAAAGTATCCGTTGCGTCCATTGCTGGGACTGGAGCGAGACCCGACGCGTCCACATGAAGACGTACCTGCTATCCTGGTGTATATGGTGTATCAAAGACTGAAAATCGCTCATGCTGCATATAAACCAGAGTGTACCAGTAGAGACGGCGCTAATACTATTCCTACAGCTACAAATGCTACTGCAACCGCTGCAACGAGGTATAACGGCAGGTTTCTGGAGTTATTCCAGACACTCAATAGACAAGGACAGGCTGGTACTCTACCGAGGGCTCAGACACGACCAGAAGTACCGGTTTCCAGTGTCCACCTTGTGTGTGTCAAGTTCAACTCAACGGCATCGGCACTGTGGACTGCGGACAGAATGGTGGGGCTGCTTTTCCCTGCAGATCAAGCGGCTCCTGCGGCGGAAGCGCCTGTAGTAGCACCAAATCAACAGCCTGCCGTGAATGCCGAGCATGGCGCTGGTGCTGCCGATGACGAGGACGTGTACAGCGTGGCGGACGGACGAGATCGGATGACGTTGAATATGTGGCTTTCTACGAAACGAAAAGTCAGCGAGCGAACGGTGCGCTCGTATTTAAGACAAATGCTTCTTGCGGTGGATGCTCTAGAGCGGTCGAACTGCGAACATGCGGACATTTCGCCTGTAAATATTGTGGTGCACAGTCACTCACGAGTCCGCGAGTCGAAATTGACCGGAAACATCGCAACTGGACGGTCTGAAATGGAAAGTGAAGAAGATGACGATGATTTGGACATGTTGGAGAATAAACCACACGAACATTATCAACACCGGCGACGAACACCCTTCTTTCAGTTATTTCTAAGTCGGAGGAACTGTCAACACACTGGTGGAGCTCGAAATCTACCAATTGATCCTGGTGTTGCTCTTGACGCGAACATGAATCCCATACTTACTGCTAATGAAGAAATTGCACAACAACGTCAGAGGTTAGCGGCGGCAGAAGCAGAAGCTGGTGGCAATGGCAATGGTGTCCACATCGCCGCTACATTTCGCCATCGATTAGCTCTTCCTCAAGCCTCAATGGTGAGCTCGGTCATTCAAACTGCGATGACCGTGTGGGCTCGTGGTCGGTTTATGGATGCGAACACGTCGACCGTATTGGCTCTGCTACTTCGCTACCCTGATAGCTTTCCGAGCAACCTGCGGTCCTTCCTGGAGTATGCGAAGTACCTCATCATCACTCACTCGGCCAGTGCGTCCAAACTGCTTCGTCACGAGTACCTTCAGTGCTCAGAGGCTGAGCTAGACTGTCGCTCGTCTCCTCATTGGTCTACAACACCGATTCGTGACGTTAACGAGTACAAAAGCAAGCTTGTGGCGTACTACGGTAGCTTGCCAGCTCGTGTCGAGGAGCTTTTGGATGATTCCAGCTCGTTGGTTAGTCCACAGGTGATTGACGAGCTCATGCCAAGGTCAAACCTTGGTCTGCAGTATTTTTCCAGAGCTTTGGAAGAGAGTAAGCTTCGATCTGAGCGCTTTGTCAGCGTCGTAGCGCCATCTACTGCATCTTCTTCTTGGGTACGCACACTCGCGAGCACGCAGAGCTGTACCCTGCAACGTTTGGATCTCTCCCATGCGCGTGTACCGACGTCTGTATTGTTGCGAGAGTTGGCTACATTGCCACGTTTAACGCATCTCCGTCTACCACGGCAAATACTGCGAGACGAAAACCTGGAGCATCTTGTAGCTGCACTAGCGTATGCTCAGTTCCTACCGCAGCTTCGAGGACTTGACGAGAATGTTCGTCAGGCTATGGATCGATTGGAGAAATCCTATCTCATGCAACTCGACATGGTCACGTTCCTGTTACAAAAACCCAGTGTGAATACCGCAGCTGGAGACCGTACCCCATCGTAACCTAGCTACTTGTTGTCAGTTAATTCAAAACTCAAGCAATAATTGGATTATTGATGCAATGTGAGCTCCTCTTGTCCTCATTAGTTCTTACGTGACGGACGCTTGGTGAAGAGATCGACCATTGGGATTTCCTCCAGCTCGCGACGAGAGCACAGATACTCTCCCAGAACGATGGTTACACTTGCCGCTACGAGGTGAACTAGCCACCAGTCCCACATCTTCGGGAATTCCTGTAGTAATAAGATCAAGTTAGTATATGTGTATCTCACTGTTCGTGACTTGGAAACGTACCGAATAGAAACACTGAGCCAGGAAGTCGATGAAGTAGAGTGTGACACCAAAGTCTAGACACTTTTTGGCACGCTCTACGAAGAGTGCGAGGCACACAGCACTGCAGAAGAGATAAATGAGCCTTAAGATCAGATGAATTGTTTTCGGTGTGACGGACCTGACGAAGCTGGCGGCCACGATAGCGAAGCAGTTTTTGAGTCCATCAACAGTCACGACCGTTTGCGTGTGGTAGGCGAAGAATTGGTCAAGCGTCACGTGTGCGCCATGGCAAATACCCAAAACCAGGCCCTGCGCCACATAGTGCGAGCACTGAAAACGGCGTAGCGACGTAGAAACACCATATTAGAGGGTGAAAAGGGTATGAGTGGATAGAGAAGACAAAGACGGAGGTAATGCAACGTACTTGCATAGCTAGCATCTGCAGAAGGATGAGCTTAGGCGCCCACCGCGCAGCCCCGTAGAACTTGGGCATCGTCCTTGTCTTTTGGCGTGATCTGTTCAGACAGAACATGTAGTTAGCTGAATAAAGGTGTGGTGCACATAGTATTCATCTGATACTGTACCCATTATTTCTGATGCTGAACTTAACGTCAACGTCAACAACTTGTGCGCAACATGCCAGAAGCCGACGAGATGACCCCTGAGGAGACGAATGAGTTGTTACGACTGCGGGAACATCGGCGTCGCTTCGCGAAGGAAAGTGAGGTGTCGGGTGACGACGGCTTTGGCGGTATCGGAGGCTTCAAGCAACGCACTTGGGCACTGTTCAGTGTCATGGGTGGGCTTATCTACGGCTATAACGTCAGTCTAGCAGCCACGTTGCAGTATATTCAGGACGACCTACAGCTATCCTCCACACAAGAAGAGGCTCTGAGTGCCACAGCGACGCTAAGTGATGCCGTCTCCATGTTGGCGGGCGGGTATTTAGCTGACCGCTACGGCCGCAAGGCCACGGCCATGTTCGCGTGCTCATGCTCCATTGTGGGGGCGCTATTGGCTGGAATCGCAAGCAGTAGCTTCTCGTGGCTCGTACTATGGCGTCTGTGCTCCGGAGTGGGCAACGGGTTGTCTATTCTACTGATTCCTATGTACATAAGTGAGTGTGTGGACGCTGCCAGTCGAGGAGCGTTCCTCACACTGTTTCAACTTGGGGTGAATTCGGGTGTAGCTGTGCCCTACCTCTTTATGATAACTATAAGTGAGAACTGGAGAGCATGTCTGGCTTTTGGCAGCTTACCGGCGCTCTATGTACTCTACAATTTCCATTTCTACTTCCCGGAGAGCATCAAATGGCTCCGTTGGAAGGAGAACCCGACAGATCTAGAAGAAGCAGTCACAGATGTGTCAGATGAAGACAGCGTCGACAGTACCGATCCTTCGGTCACCATCAAGCGAGAAAGAAACGGGAGCTACCAACGTCCATCTGAACAAGCTACAACTGCGTCTACTTCGTCTCCAAATCCTCATCTGGAGCTGTTGATCGGTATTTTACTGGCGTATGTGAACAATTGCGTGGATGCGTCTCTCTTCTATGGCCCGGAAATCATCGCCAAGACCAGTACTTCGTATTCACGTAGAGATGCCAACATCTTCGGACTCCTCTGCTCACTCGTAGCAGTCGTGTCTGTCATTTTCGCTGGTCGATTCGTCATTGCAAGGTTCTCAAGACGACAAATCTACTTGATTTGTCTAGCTGTCGTCTGTGTCTGCTTCGTGGTGAGCGGAGGCGTTTTTGCGCGATATTCCACCGACGATTTTGCACACAGTTCCACGGCGTCCGCGAGCATCATGATCACGTTCGCCGTGCTTAACGTGTTTGCTGCTGTGGGCCCCAGTATCCTCTTCGTTGTTATCCTAAGCGAGCTGTTCCAAGACAACAGCTATCGAGCACGGTACATGAGCTACTGCACCTTCACCATGTCGCTCATCTCGCTGCTCGTGAATGGCTCCATGCTCACTCTGTTTGAAACATTCGGTACTGCTGCTACATTCCTCGCGTATGGGGCCACATACGTGGCGTGTCTGGTCTTCTTCTGGGCCTATCTACCTGAAACCAAGCAACGCCAACTAGTGTAAGTCAACTGAACAACTACAAGCAACAACTCTCAGTAAATAGATTGGTAGACGCCACACACACATGTGTCTGTTACTGTGACCGGACAGCAGGTTTGCCGTTTGTTCGAGTCGGTACGCGAATACCAGAGTTGCCGATAACACCATTCGGCACATCGTCCAGTGGGCCATACTGGATGGCGTACTGTTCAACGCTGTGTTGAAGCTGCATGTTCTCCGTCATGAGGCCAGTCAAGTGGTCATTGAGCACCATGACCTTCTCCTCCAGCAAGGCTCTTGAGCCACGAGATCCATTAGCAGGCCTTGACGTCTCGCGATTCCGAAGAGCTTGGAGCTGCGAGTCCTTCTCCAATACTTCGCTCGTGAGCTTTTCAACTTCCTTGACGAGCGCCTTCATGTCAGCCTTGGAGAAGCTCCTCTCCTTGAGCTTCGCGTTTGTTTCTTTCAATTCACGCACGCGGTTCTGAAGCTTCGCACACTGTTCTTCCCACTCACAAACATCTTCAGCACTGCTCACAGCGGTGGGATTTTCACGTAGCTCTTGGTTCTCCAACTTCAGCTTGGAGACTTCTTCACTCATAGCTTCCACCTGTTGATACAGTGATTCTTCCCGTGCTTTAAACGCGTCACGCTTGTCCTGCTTACTATCCCGCAGACGGAATGAACGCTCCACCTCGTCCAATCTCGATTTAAGCTCGTTAATCTGCTTCTCTTTGCGATGAATGAGCGCATCCTGACGAGTCTCACGGTCCTGGTAGCTTCGAAGAAGAGCTGACACTTCCATTATGCCACGAAGGAAAGCACTGTCGTCGATACCGTCAGCTTTAGATCCTTGAGCACCAAACTCGACGTTCAGCTTTCGCATCTCACGACGGAATTGATTCAGTAAACTCGTCTTGGAATCTTCAAGCTGAGCAATTTGTGATTGAAGCTCACCCTCGCGCTGTACTGATTCATCATAAGCCTTCTCCAGGTCCTTCATCGCCGCTTCTCGAGCTGCAGCATCAGCTTCGTTTGACGAGAGTTTCGCTTGCGCAGCTCGTTTGAGCTGCTCTCGAAGCTTTGCATTCTGTTGCTTTAGTAAAGCAGCTTCGCCTTCCTTTTCGTGCACCTTGCCTTGAAGCTGGCGCTTCAGTTCTTTCTCAGTGTCCCTAGCAAGCTGCAGCTCTTCCTCCTTTGCAGTCAACTCGGCATCGCGTTGATGCGCATCGTCTTCGCGTGCGGCTAGTTCATCTTGTAGCTCCTCGAGCTTCAGCATAAGCTGCTCAGACACGTGGAGATGACCTCTCGCGTTGTCCATCTCAGTCGTATTATCCCGAATTTCCTCATTCAATCGCTCGATCTCCTCGTGCAACTGGTCGATCTCTTGGTGCAAGTGTTCGATCTCTTCCAATTTTGCATCCATCTTCTTCAGAGTAACCGCATTCTCAGCAGCTAAGCTATCGTACCGAGTCTGCAGGGCTCGCTGCTCACGCTCTCGTTGCAGTTTCTCGTGCATGGCACTCTGTTCTCTTCCCGTCATCGACTGCTGGCTGACTTGGAGCTCGCGCTGAAGTCGCTTCACTGATGCTTCCAGCTCCTTCACCCGTGTCTGTTCCTTGTCTGTAGCAGAGTGCTCACTTACACGGAGCTTATGCTGCAGCTCCTTCATCGACGTCTCCAGCTCCTTTACTCGCAATTGCTGTTTCTCTTCGACTTCAGCTAATTCCTTTGCATGATCTTGCTTCTCAGAATGCGAGCGGTCCATCAGATGACTCGTCATTTCCTTCTCTTGGTCCAGTTTGGACTGTAATTCCGTCATTTCATCTTGCAGCTCTGCCAGTTCATTCTCCTTCTCTCTCAACTGAGTCAAGATATCCTGCTTAAACTGTTCGTGCGTCGCCTTCAGCTCATTATGAATAGCTTCAAGACGCATAAAGTCATCACTCGCGTTGTGGCGAGAGCGCTGGGCTTCTTCATGAGCTGCCATCGTTTCCTGCATGTCACTTAGAACACGCTCCTGTTCCTCCCGTTCACGTTGTAGCTGCAGAAGCTCCGCATCCAGCTTCTCCAGCTCGGCAGCGTACGTTTCAAGCTCTCGCTGAAGTCTAGCGTTTTCCTGCTCCAGCTTCGTCCTCTCTTCACTCGCGTGCTGCAGCTGAGTGTCCAGCTTTGAGTCCAAAACTGCCTGCAAGTGATTCACCTTCTCGCTTTCCTCTTGAACACGTCGCTCCATTTCATGAGTTAGTCGTTCCAGCCTTTGAGAAAGATTTTCATCCGAACCTTCACGTATCGATGTACTATGTTGCTGCATAACATGCTCCAACCCGCGTTTCTCGTTCCGAAGAGCGTCAAGTTGAGTATTCAGCTGTTCATTCTTCATCTGCAAGCTCTCAGACTCGTATTGCTGGGCACGCAGTTTCTCTTCCAACGACTGAACCATTTCCTGCACACTGCGCAGTTGTTGATGGCCTTCATTCATCTGAGCGTCACGCTGTACCAGTTGAGCTGTCAGCTTTTGCAGTTGAGTCCTGCCATCCTCAGTAGCCATAGCCGCTGATTGTTTCTGCGTCTCAATTTGTTCAGTCGCTTGCCTCATCACTTCTTGAAGTCGAAGCTCAAGACTTCGTTTGTCGCTCTCCAATTGATGCACCGAAGTCTTCCAGTGTTCAATCTCATTGCGAGCAGTAGAAATCTGAGCTTCCAACACCGATTTCTCTGAAGACAGCATCATCAAGTTGCGGTTCAGTGCTTCCTTCTCCTCGCATAGCGACCGGACTGTGTTTTCATGAGTGGTTTTCTGCTCGATAGAGCGATCATGGACACGGTGAGCTTCTTCCATTGTGGCTTCGGCGTCGGCTCTGGTCTCTTCGATCATTCTTTGAAGCTCCTGGTTTTGTTCTTCCAGTCGTACACGCTCTCCCTGTAGTAGCTCCACTTCTCTCGTACGTTCATTATCGGGAGACAAGAACTGCTCAATTCGCGCACTTAACTCTGCATTCTCCTTGTTCCGTAATTCAAGCTCCTGTAGACGATGCTCCAGCTCGCGTTTCAAGCCCTCATTCTCCCGAGCACCTTCGTGTAGTTGATGCTGAAGTTTTTCGCATTCCGAGCGCCACTTGTTGAGCTCTTCTCCCCCCGCTGCCGCATGTCCCTCATACATTCCCAATTTCTTCACTGCCTCGTCGAGATCTGCTCGTAGTTGATCATTTTCTTGAGTCATTTCGTTGAACTGGCCCTCAACTTGTGACACGAAGTCATTGTACTGGTTCTCGAACTCAGCAGACTGGGACTTCATGGCTTCATCATGAGCAGCTTCCTTTGCAGCCAGGTCCTTGGACAGAGTCTCCATTTGCTGCTTTGCACGCGCAACTTCTTCTGTCAGCTGCTGCATCTTCTGAGCTTCCATCAACCGCGACTGGTTCTGCTGTTCAGCTTCTTGCGAGGTTGCCATGAGTCTGCCGATCTCTGTGCTCTTACGTCGGTTGATGTCCTTCAGGTTGTCCACAGTGGCTCGTAACTCGATGTTCTCCTCGTTGATCTTGCTGAACTGGAGCTGCAGTTCTTCCTCGACGCGAGCCTTTTCGTCCAGCAATTGTTGTTCACGCTGCTTCATGGCAGCCATGGCCTGTGCTTCGATCTGTGCACGTGCTTCTCCAGCCTCCTTTCTGAGGTTCTGGAACCTTGTGGACTCTTGTTGAAGAACTTGAGTGAGTCTCTGTCGCTCCGCTTCGGCCTCACTACGATATTTATGCTGCTCCGCAAGCTGCTTCTCGTGCTCCTGCGCCATTCTATCCACATGTTCCTGTAACTTCCGGTTTTTAGCCAGCAATTCTTTAAAGTTGCCTTCACGCTGACCCATTTCTTGTCTTCCTTGGTTGAGCGTGCTCTCTAATTCACTCACTTGGCGCGTCTTCTCTTCGTATTTCTTCTGCCACGTTACAACACCCTGCTCCAGCTCATTTGCCTTCGTTACTACTGACTCGTAATGCCCACGTAGCTCCTGGATCTGCTGCTCAAGAGCACGCATCTCGTTTGATTGGTGCGTTCCCTGCTGCTTCAGTGTCGTGTTCTCCTTCATAATCGTCGAACTATCACGCTTCATCTGCTCCAACTGAGCGAGAAGGGAGTCATTGCTCTTTTTCAGCGTTGAAAGGGACGTATCACGCTCTTTAAGCTTCTTCTCCACCTCTACTCCTGCCTGTCGTAGCATGGACACCTCGGAACGAAGCTGCTGGATCTGGTACGTGCCCTGTTTCTTGAGTGTCTCTACCTCTTGAGCTGCGAGATGATACTTCTCCTCCCATTTCTGTTTATCCACTGTGAGCTCTGCGATCTGCAGCTCCTGCTTCTGGATGGTCTCTCCTAGCTCTCGGATGAGCTCCAAGTTCTGCTGGGCCTCCTCGATGGCCAAGTCCAGCTCCTTGCCTTTCCAGCGGTCAATGTGTCTCTTCTGGGACTCAATGACAGCTCCAAGCTCGGCAAACCGCTGGATAATAACTGGCATAAGCGCGTGATCCTGTTGGTGCTCCTCCTGTTCCTCCAAAGGCACCAAAAGACACGAGAATCTGCTCTAAGTCGTCGAATCCTTCACTAAAACTACCCAAAGAGCACAAAAACCTACCAGAAAGTGTAGAAAATCGGCGAACGAGCGCACAGCGGCCTTCACTTTACTGGGTGAGTATCTGGCGGGCGATTCTTCGAGTCCTGCGGCCGATTGGCGACCTCTAGACGTCGACAGGCGACGACGGGAAGGCTCTGGTGTTACGCTGAATTCGAAGCCTCCGTTCGCTTTCTGTTGCCGACGACGCGGTGTGGAGAAACCGGCGGGCATCGATGGCACTATGTCACCCATATACTCCTCGTCCTCGTGCTTGGACTCCCCATTCATGGTCACGTCCTGAGCGCTCCGCCTCATGATGGCGGTGCGGTTTTGAACGCGCGAAAAGGAAAGATGATAATTTGGAGTAAGATCGGCTTAGGCGGGGATACGTTATATATGTGGACCACAAATCGGACAATCTTATTGAAGTTGCCTTGTTCTTTTTTGGCTCGTGAACTTGATGGTCAAGTTGAAGGGGTTTGATAATTGCGTTCATTATTAGCGTGTTTTTAATCTTTGTACACAGGACAACGCTATCCACATGTAAGTTTACGTTCAAAACTGGGGCGTCGCAGTTGTTAGCTGCGTTTGGGAAGTCCTCTCGTTCGATGACGGGTACGTAGGCTCCGGGTCGGAGAACGTAAAGCTGTAGCCAGAGCTTTCGTTAGCTTCGACAAAGCTTCTTCGCGAGTACGGATCATAGGATAACGAGGAAGCGCGGGGCATGTCCATGGGCGATCGCTGTGCCTTCACGTACATGAAGTTGCCTGACTCGTCTGAGCCGTGGGCAGAATTGGGGGAGTTTGTGGGGAGTTCGTTGGTGTTGGACATTGGTCGGAAGCCGAAGAAGCTGTAGCGACGCTCTTTCTGCTGCGTTGCCTCAGCTCGTCGGCTGCGAATAAATACGAATCCCAGTACAGCAAGACAGACGACAGCCGCACAGCCCAGTGTCAACCCAACAATGAGACCGACGTGAGAATCGGAGCTGTCGCTGGTATCGGCGGCGGCTGAGGAGGCAGTGACGGTCATACTCATGAAAGAGGCCACGTCGAACCGCACCCCGTCCCCATTTGGCACCACAGCATGAGCCATGAGAGCGTACGATCCTTCACTTGGAATGCTGATCTTCGTTGCAAACAAAGCCTCGCCACTCCTCTCTGAAAAGTTCATGGGCTGTGCGGAGTACGCCAACATCTTCTTCTCCGAGAACGGCGAGCAATTTGAGTTGTTGCAGTAGTAAATGTTCACTTGTGGTAGATTCACGTACTGGCCAGTGGACTCGTCGTAGACTGTGGTGGTGTTCACCATTACTCCGTCCGTGTAAGAGGTTTTCTTCGCAACGGTCCAACTTACTAGAGCGCCGGCCTCCACTGTAAAAGTCGTCGTGGACACGGTCATGTTCACCGTGTAAGGGCAGTTGGTGCTGTTCCCCGAGAACACCACACTCGTAGCATCCACGTCCTCATCTTCGGCATCTGCTACAACTTCCCAGCAGTAAGACTCACTGCCATCGTCCACGTACGTCTCGCTCTCTACCTGTTTCGACATGTTCTCCTGGGTTGCGTAGATCTCGAAGTATTTAACAAAATCGTATCTCTGTGCGTCTGCGTCGGCTCCTGCCAGCGTCACCTGGACAAAGCCTGTATACCAGCCTGTCGAGGGAACGACAATGCTGCTTGAGTTGAACGTCGCAGTGTCTGTCGACGTAAAGTTCGCGGAATAATCAGCAGATGATGCGGTGAATGTGCTCGAATACTCGTCGCAGCCCATGTCGCGCTCGCACAGCTTCACGATCGAGCCCACGATTGTGTAATACCCACTGTCTTTCATGTCATCGTCGGCCAACACGTAGACGGCCTTCAGGGGTGAAGGCAACTGGATGTCCTTGGACGAGTTACGTGTCAGCGTGGCCGTCCAGACGACGTCAAAGGCCTGGTTGGCCTGCACAACATTGTTTGCATCAATCGCTACCTCGATCTCGGAGCTGTCACTGCTCGCAAGTAACACGCTCGAGTCTAGCCGATCCTCCAGTGGGTTCTGCGCTGTCACGCGGCAATAGGTCGTGGCGCTGTCGTAGTCTCTGTCAACACAATAAAATCACTTTACGTATCAGATCCTCGCTCCATCCATGATATGCAGCAGCAAATAACTCACACAGCCCCGACTTGGTCTTCCTTAACGACGATATCCGCAAATGTCTGGAAGTAGTACAGTAATATATCGTTGTCGGCGTTGCCGAGCACGGCAACGGCGGCCACTGTGTAATTTCCTTCTTCTGCGAAGGAGAGCTCGTCCAGTGTCTCGAAATACGTGGCATCGGACCTGGAGAAATTACCGGACTGGGCGGTTGTGAATATCTCGTCCCCTAAGATACTCGGGGTGCACTGCAGTCTCGAGGCGCACGTTCGTACGTAGGTGGAGAGGATCTGTACGTAGGAGCCGGCGTTATCGGAGCTGAGTGTGATCATCGTGTCCGGCGGCATGGGAACGTCCATGGCGTTAGTCGACTTAGGCTCGAGCTGCACACCCCACAACAGTGAGATGCTCTCGTTGGGCGCGTAGGACGCGGCCACCAGCGGGATCGTCACGTCCACCGCGCAGGCCGAGCCAGAGTAGGCAGCCAGTGCCGTTACGAGGGACGTCGAGCCATCGATCTTCCAGCAGTTCGTCTCGTCAGCGGCCGCCAAGCTGCCCGAAAGCAGCAGCGCCAGCAGTGCCGCCCCCACAGCGTGAAGGGAGCGCATGAGCGTCCTAGCCAAACAATGGAGCAGACCAGGTTCTTGAGAGTCTCAATGAGACCAAGCCAAAAAGTCCCTGTCTGCTTCAACTGCCGTCAACGGTCAGAGAATGAAGGGAAGTACC